ATCTCAAACATAAAAGCTTTTGTAATAACCTTCAGATTATTTTTAGGTTTGCTGCGCGGGGACTTGTTTTTGAAACAATCAGTTAATCAGTGTATATGTTTGTTATATCTTACTTAAAGGCAGAGTACACCCAAAATCTAAATTATCCAATTCTCTAGAACGTGTATATCTAGGGCTCAGAAGAAGACCAACTGCGTTGGTCCGGTCTCCCAATGTTGCTTCTGAGCGGAGAAAACCCGCCTGATTTTTCTTTCATTCCGCCCTTTTTCCTTCACTCCGCCTCCTTCGGACGAAATCCACGTCAGCGTAAGCTGCAGTTGCAGTTGCAGTTGCTGTTGCAATGCTGTTGCATGCCACTGCAACTGCATTTGCAACAGTGCAGTTGCTTTTTGCGCTCTGCCTTCTTCAGACGACGAACTCACGACAGCATACGCTGCAGTTGCTGTTGCAACTATAGGCCGTCATGCAGTTGCAGCTGCTCCTCGTGGCATACCGACGGGGTCGAGCAATTCGAAACTCGTCCTCTCCTGAAAAGAGGGTCCCCGGGAATCAGGGGTTTTGGAGAATTTCAACACCATAACTGTAATCAGGGGCACGGAAAGGCCCAAGAATGACAAAAACATCAAAGGCGAAATTTTGGGTGTACGCTGCCTTTGAGCCTTTTATGTCCCCCACCCACTCACTAGCGACCCGCAGGGTGACCGAAGTAACCGATATAATTTACGGTCAGTCACAATAACTTGACAGGGTGCAGCAAAAGCCTTTGAGCCGAGTTTGCCGTATTGTAGATTACTAAACTAATGCTTTGATTCAAACTTTATGTCACATGATGCTGCGATCATTCTCTACAAAAGCGTACTGGCTAGCTGAAAATGGCAATGGCTGTCATATTTTCTTTAAGGAACTGTCAGACTGATACTTTTGCCGAGAGAGAAAATTAGAATTTTTAGTGTCAACATTTTATGCTATAGTTAGAGATATTGTTGATTTTTACAATGATGCACACAATGTAGAGGAGGCTTTGCGCTACCAAACTGTAGTATTGCCTTTGCCAGAGCTATTCTTGCGGAAACGGAACATGGAACTTTGCGAATGTTACCTGCGTGCCAGTGGCCATCTGCCTTGCATACATCTTTTTAATAAGAATCCATCAAAATTCGGTGAAGGAAACACTTTCCATACTTTCTGAGCGATAACTTTCCGCTTTCCTTCGCGTAATTGTAATCAAATTGCCAGTATGCGACGTACACATATCTTCACTAAAAATCCCAATATTTTTATTCCCATACACTGCGAAAGATCCCCTTGGAAGTAAGTTGTAGAGAAAATCTTGCTTTATCATGCTGCACATAACGTTTACCTGCGTGCCATGACAAGTGGAAATGCCAAGATTTCAAAAAGCTAAGTGGATCCCAAAAAAAGGCTATTTTAAAACACAAGAGCTGCTGTATTTGTAGAGGTTCTTTGTGCACAAAATTTTTTTGGTCTTTCTCCCTTCTTATTTAATCTAATGAAATCTTAGGCTCAACATCTTTTGCCGCACTTACTACGTCTGAAATGGATTTCTGACTTAAATTAAGTGCATTTGTTGGTTTACTGCCAAAATGCGCTTACTATAGATCTCTTCGTATTCACTGCACTAGTGAACCAGTTATTAAAAGTGCTAGGTTGCGTCCGCGCGTTTCGGGACCGCCAAGCGGTTTCCCGCGATTTGCAGATTTTTGAATTGCGCTTACGTTTCTTTATATGGTACTTTTCCGTTATCCGGACCCATTATTCCATAAGGCTCTCATAACATACTTTCTTCAGATCAAGAATAATCTTTTGTAGATTCTACGAAAATGCCTTCCTGCCACGTCAGGAAAAATTTGGCACGTTTCAGTCCATTTTGACTCGTTTTTTTTTTCGAAATCATTTCCGGTGAGGTAAAAAAGCGTTTGTGACCACCTACTTAGACATTGAGAGCGGACGAGCCGCGGCCCCAAAAGGGCTTTCCGGCCTCCCGCGGACTTGATTTGGGAGCGTGGCCGAGAGACGGTCAGAAGGCGCGATTTTTCTGGCTGTCACAAACTTAAAACTCCAGTCTCGGGCTATGGGAGGGGTGAGAGGGTTCGAAAGTGCCGGGCAAACTCCATGGCTTACTAACTGTTTGAGGTAACCACTTGATAAGTTTGACGACTTCTGCTAGTAAACTGACTGGATTATTTACAAAATTGCTATTAACTGCATTTTCAAGGGGTTGGAATCAAATTCAGGATGATGAGGTAAAGGAACCCATGCAATTATCAAAAATATCTCGTTTGAGATTTTAAGCGATTCTAGAACTTTGTAAAACACTAAATATGTGCTATAAGCTGTCCATCTGGCAGTAAGGATCGCGCCTCTTGACATACATCCGGCTCAGCCGCGGCCCTTAATGATGGGGCGGGCTTGCAGCGGCTGAGCCGCGGACCAAAATCTGTATAAGAAACTTCGGATGAGCCGCGGCTCAGCCGAAGTATCCTTTGCGCAAGTATCCTTTGCGCTCCCAATGTGTGAGCGCAAAGGATACTTGCGCGATGTACGACGCATGGTCAGGCTGCCCCCGATAGCCTTGGATGTTGCTCCGGGATAGGAGCAATCATATGTTACTTGATGAATAACCTCTGATAGCACTACGTTGCTATCCAATCCCGAAGTCGGAATGGTCCCCCAAGCCGCTGCATCGGTGGTCCCAATCCCCGCCTCTTTACTGTGTATTCCTCCATGTGCCATGTTGCTCGAAGGCCCAACCAGACCGAAGTAGAATGAACACGGAGGGCCCGACAACCGGCCGCGGCTGAGCCGAGGCCCACCCGCGGATGAGCCGAGACTCATCGCCGGCCGAGCCGAGGCCCAATCTCCGGCCGGGCCGCGGGAGCTGTGAAATTCCAGCCGGGAAAGGGCCGCGGCTCAAAAGCTCCCAGTGTCTGAGTATAAACCTTTCAACCATCTTATATATAAAGCTGAATGTCTGTTTGTATGTATGTATGTCTGTATGTATGTGTGTACGTATGTTCCGAATAGAAAATTCCATTTCTGAACCGATCCGGACCAAACTTGGCACACATACATTACGGGCCCCGGCGGGTGTCATAGGCTACTTTTCGTCATCGATCGATATCGATTTTATCGATTTTTATCGATTTTTTTGCTGAGTTCACCTACGGGGCTGGGAGTTGGCACAGGGGGGTAATCGAGCATGGGGATTCCGAATACAATATTGGTTTTCAGGATTATCGATTACTTTTATTGATTTTATCGATTTTTTTGCAAAGTTTGAGCTACGGGGCTGGGAGTTGGCACAGGGGGGTAATCGAGCATGGGGATTCCGAATACAATATTGGTTTTCAGGATTATCGATTACTTTTATTGATTTTATCGATTTTTTGCAACGTTTGAGCTACGGGGCTGGGAGTTCGCACAGGGGGGGTAATCGAGCATGGGGATTCCGAATACAATATTGGTTTTCGGGATTATCGATTATTTTTATCGATTTTATCGATTTTTTGCAGAGTTTGAGCTAGGGGGCTGGGAGTTGGCACAGGGGGGTAATCGAGCATGCTGATCATCCCCAAGGGGGGTGATCAGCATGCTCGATTACACCCCTGTGCCAAATTCCAGCCCCCTAGCTCAAATTTTCAAAAAATCGATAAAATCGATAAAAGTAATGGACGATCTTGAAAACTAATATTGTATTCGTAATCTGCATGCTCGATTACCCCCTGTGCAAACTCCCAGCCCCGCAGGTCAAACTTTACAAAAAAAATCGATAAAATCGATAAAAGTAATGGACGATCCTGAAAACTAATATTGTGTTCGTAATCAGCATGCTCGATTACCCCCCTGTGCAAAATCCCAGCCTCGCATGTCAAAATTTACAAAAAATCGAGAAAATCAACAAAAGTAACCGATAATTCTGAAAACTAATATTGTATTCGGAATCCCCATGCTCACTTCCCCCCTGTGCCAACTCCTAGCCCTGTAGGTGAACTCTGCGAAAAAATCGATAAAAATCGGTAAAATCGACATCGATCGATAACGAAAAGTGGACTGTGACACCCGCCGGAGCCCGAAGTGTATGTGTGCCAAGTTTGGTCCGGATACGGCGGAGCCGGGTAAGCCAGCTAGTTTTCTATAAAAGCAAAACTGTCTGCAACTTATCGCAGAACTAATTGCTTTCAGCAATAATTCAGACTTGTCTTCCCATTCAAACTTGCCATGCGAACTTAGTCAGGAGAGGCTACAAATGATGGCTTACGGTATCTCCTTGCTGCTTGGTTGGCCGCTTGGATAATGGAATCCTAGCACACTTCTCCATTCTGGGCAAATCTTCTGTTCAATGATAACAGGATGACATATTATAGCAGCGTTCATTTCTGAAGCCCTTTATTTGAAAAGGGGGTTATTATTGACTTAATTACATATTGATTTTACGTCGCTAGGTAGTGCAAAACAAAACCTTGGTAAAACCTGTTAATCATGTAGATGTAAAAAATTTTTGACAGGGGCAGAAGGTTGCCACTCCTTTCTGTGAATTTGAGAGCAAATATGGTACAAGAAAAAAGCAATGTCCTTCTATGAAAATTGGGTCCGGATTCCGGATAACGGAACAGTACCCTTTATATATTAGATCACAGTGGCATATGGCTGCGGGCATATCGGATTAAGGATATTTAGTGGTTCTGATCACATATCAAAAGTCTGAACAAGGGTGCTATATCCTCTTGTTACCACAGTCTTTAGTTGCTATGTACTACATGACTGAGTAAAATTTGTCACAATTTTTTAACATTCAATGCTACATTACATTCTTGGCCGACTTTTTCGGAGGCTCACAGGGAGAAAAGGAGTCGTTCTGATGTGCGATTTCGGCTCTCAGACGTCTTCTCCCACGTGCATGTAGAGATGTTTCATTTCCACGAATCAAAATAGGAGACGGCACAATATTCCAAACATCCACTAACCAATTTGGCCTTCAGTGGCTTTGGAGATGACGAGTTCAAGAAAATTTTTGACAAAGCTCAGGAAGCCCTCCAACAAGGAATACATCCTGTTCTCATTCCCGTAGGAAGCTCAGGTGAGCCTGGGAGAATTTGGCTAAAAAGAGATTTGATGGTTACGAGAGTGTCAGCGAAACTAGTACCATGCAGACATAAACTATGGAAGGTACCATAATTGCTGGTCTGCATAACCGAGTAATAACAAGCATAATGGGAACTCGAGTTTTTTTTCACTTTCTTATTCTATTTCGTTGTGGGATCTGAAACTTTACCTTCTGTGTAGAAAAGAAACTCTCGCCAGCCTTGTGTCTTCAGCTATTGAGTTCATAGCGTTTTTCTATGCTCCTTTTCCCATACGGTTAGTTGAAAGCAAGGTAACTATATGTTTGAATTATTCCTGCTCAAAATACACTTTGTTTTAGATCGCAATCGTTCCTCCTTAAATTTTCAGTATACAAAGTTGTATTTTTCCAAAGATGAAAATAGTGCTCTTCGGCAGCAAACTTCGCTTATAGTGCGGAAATCATGATGTAGCCGACATTGTCTTTCAACGAAACATCAACGCTAATGTACTTTTATGAATAGCATGGGTTTCCTTTTGGGACTAGGAGACAAAATAAACTTTGTAGACGTCGCTTACAAGCTCAAACATCTTCCTTTTGGACCAATAAGGCATACACAATGAAGAAAGTTATTTTGAACACATGTGCAGCAGCGCTTTAGTTCTCCTACTCTTAAATAAAGATCTTGAATAAATCATTTGAAGGCTCTTACTTTGTGCGAGACGTAAATTTGGAAAACATTGCTGTCTTCAAACCATCCGACGAGGAGCCCTTTGCTGCTTTGAATCCGAAGTGGCCGAAGTTCTTTCAAAGGTAGGAAAAACTCAGAGTAATGCAATTAGACCAGTTCGCTACAAAGCAGATCCTAGAAGGGAAGGACGCGGGGTCACCATAGCATTCCCATATGATTTGTATGTGGAAAGCTCTTTCAGAAAGATTGATTTCAGTTCTGTGTTCACTATATGGAAGGTCATCTTTTGGAGGAAGTTATAAGCAAATCACAACGAAGTTTCTGGGCATCAAATAGACAAAATCGCCGCTAGCTGTCAGTTGCCTGCTTTATGCTACGGTTTTACATCGTGATGACACCACTGTATCAAGGCAAATTCTTTTGAATTTCATAGACAGAGAAGCAAGAAATTTTGCAATGCTTGTTTTGACTCCTTGCTTAACACATTTACGACATGCAATTTTGAGTTGTTTGCCATTTGGGACCAAGCTCTGTCGCGATCAGCCAACATTTTTGAGGGATAACTAAGCATATTGCCACTAGCTGTAAGTGGGTCGAGGCAGATACATTAGTATTTGCTAACAAGAGAAGGATACCAACATTAGTCGGCGATTGAAGACAAGATGTATATCAGTAGACGCGCCTTTGAACGCTGACTCCAAATCTGCTTTCCTTTTTTGCGGAATAAGTTTCCGAAAGAGGTTGTTGGCATTCAGATGTCCAAATTTGTCAAGGTTTAGGTGGCACCTAAAATTGGTGAAAAGCTGTACAAAATCACCGGAAATTAGAAAATCATTTTTGTATCGAGAGTATATTGTTCACAAGGAAGGAACGAAGCCGGGGAAATCGCATATATGTTTTAGAGCTTTTCGCCAATTTTAAACCACCTAACCTTGACAAATTTGGACATTTGAACGCCCACAACTTCTATCGGAAACTTATTCCGCGAAACAAGGAAAGCAGATTTGGAATCAGCGTTCAAAGGCGCATCTAATGATATACATCTCATCTCTCATCTCCAATTGCCAACTAATGTTGGTATATCCTGTCCTTGTTGGTTGAGTCTGCATCTAACTATAAACGGCGTTCACATCTCCTCTCTAAAGAAGCTAAATATATGAAAAATCAAAACTTCGCAGGCCGTCTCAAAAAATATCTGATTCTTCCTTCCAAATACCACCACAGACTTTAGTTATTTGATACAGTTTGCTTCTTCCATTGCTTAGTTAAAATCAACATAATCGCTTCCCTAACAAGGCTGACCACCGCAGATGCATGCTGGATCTTCACTACGGGAGCAAAGGCATTTTGTGGCGAAAATCCTCTCAAAATCGAGGTTTTCACCGTTTTCCGTGGAAATTGTGGGGGAAAGCAAAACTTTTCACTGCAAAAATGATCAGCCACAGAAAAAGGATTCCGGAGCTTGACCAGCGAGACCATAGCTTCCATGCCGGGTCTTCATTCCGGCAGCAAGGGCATTTTCTATAGCGTAATTTCCGTCGAAATCGAGGTTTACCGTTTTTCATGGAAATTAGAAGAAAACAAAAATTTGCACTCCAAAAACTGATCAGCCACAGAGAAAGCCTGCGAAAAATGCATTTCTTGCTGTTTATTTGCTCTTCGGACAGGGATTTTCGTCAACATTTCACAAAATGTTGAGTTCTGACGACTATTTTAAGGAGAGTTGCAATGCTCAGATTTTATATCAAAATATGCAAAATTGCAAGAGGGGGAGGGGGGGGGGGCAAGGGAATCTTCAAAATGAAGGTGGAATGTAGCTAAGGACGTGAAAAGAAGTGGAACTGTGTTGAACTGTCCCAAAATATCCGTCACTCTACTGAATTTAAACCTTGTGGTCCCACCTGGTAGTTATTGCCTAAAACACAAAGTGTCACGGTCCTATCTCAAGGAAACTCTGCCAGAAAAACGTTCGTAACTTCTCTTAGAAGATCGCTCTGCAGATAGCAAGCGCATTTCTGAAGTCAGCGTTTCGACACGAGTATATTCACATGAATCTCATAAATTACGATGACCGCGGACACTTCCCTTCTTAGTTAGGACACTCTGAAAAGGATATGATCTGTTCCTGGCTACAAACCTGAGTTATCCCCCACAGGCATGCACATAACCTTAACTATCTATCTCGGCGTTTACCTCACAAATCATACATATTGAGGATATTGTGCTTCTGCTGCTTCGGAAGAGCATGTTTGATACCTAATAACGGCTATTTGTCGGAAACTGGAGCAAGTGTTGTTGACGAAATGCTTGAGGTAACAAATCTAGCTACTGTTCTGAATATTGCATAGAACGTGCATCACTTACTCGTTGTCTACAGCGTAATCTTATATTAGGTTGTTCCGGAACTTTTGTCGTTTCATATCTGAAAATTTGTAACTTTTTGTCATCTCAACGGATGTGCTTCTTTCTGATTTCGTTAAAAAAGAAATCTTCCTCTTTATAGAAGTATCTTGCTATGCATCAACCATGCATTCATTGCAGATATAAAAATGGGAAAAGAAGACCACTTGAGCTTTGATCATTCAGAGTTGTGTCGCCTAAAGTCTGAAACGCCGTAGAAAAAAGTTGATATACAATATAGTATATAAGCCTTACGACCTACGGTTTGCACCAAAGAAAAAATTGCGCTGTTTGGACGTTTCAGTGAAAGGTTATGATTTTTGAGAAAAAGACAATCAATCAATTTCGGCGTTTCTGTTGTGAACTCGAAAATAATAACTTTTTAGACGTCCAAACTGCACAGTTTTTCTGCAGACAATAGGTTATAAAACCTATGTACTAACAATTTCAGATTTTTCTGTAGCCTTCCAGGTTTTTGGCGACCTAACTTGAAATGGTCGAAGCTCAAGTGGTCTTCTTTTTCCATTTTCATCTCTGCAATGAATACATAGTAGAAGCTCATCGAGAAACGCCTGAAAAGAGGAAGATTTCTTCCTTCTGATACTATAAAAAAGAAGCAAATCTGTTGAGATTACAAAAAGCTATAAATTTTCAAAAATGGAACGACAGAACTTCCGGGAAAACCTAATAGTTTTCATCCAGCTTCAAATCGTACCTAAAACAAGGGTTGTTCGCATGGCTTCTCCGTCTTTCTATTATTCTCGCTGCTGTGGACGATATGAGATCAAACCAAAGGAGGGAAGCTTTCAAGTACGTTTCCGTCATAGAAGGGTGCTTCGATTTGGACATTTTTGTTTACTTTTCATTTCAAATCTTTGTGAAAAACATGTACTCAGACAGTTAATGCAGCACCCGCGGCCCCTAACGGTGCGGTGCGCGGGCGTTGAATTCTTGGAATGACCATCCGCAGCCCTAGAATTATTTGCTTGGCGATCCGCGGCTCAATGTCATCGCTAAGGAAAGGCCGCGGGCCTTAAAAGTTTTATCGGAACACCCGCGGCCCAAGGAGAAGCACTCGGGCGAGCCCCGGGCCTTACTGGACGCACTGCATATGAGCTCTCGGGCAAGCCCCGGCCCTAGAGGCCACGCCCGACAGAGTCAGTCACTCCGACGAGCCCCGGGTCTTGCATAACCGCACAATTAACACATGTTATAGGAGAGAACGCTACTCGCGTGAGATACGTCGTGGTAATAGGGCTACCCTTGTATGGTCGGTGATCAGTGTGTGTGCGGTGTGTGAACTGTGATCGATTGCTGCCACGCAGGACGTACGCACAGCGAGTACATCTCAAACTTGGATAATTAAACTTTTATTATAAAAATACTAACCAACCACTACAAAGCGGGTACGATACTAACACACAGTAATATATATTCAAGGTGACAGCCGAATATTCTGTGAATTGCTGTGAGGGGTTCCGTGAACTGAGACACTGTCCGGGATCCATGACAGACTGTGAAAGAAGCAAGAAAAATGTGTACAATAAAGAATACAAAGCATGACACAAAGGTAAAACAAGGAAAGGCAAGTCAAACAAGATGAGACACATTATGTTCACTACGTTCTGTCACCTACTTTTATATGCGAGCGATTATAAACAAAATACCAATATGCATAAGAATATCACAGATAAGCTAACAGCTAACAAAACAATAGATACGAGCCTGTGAGAAACTTCGCGCTTCTGTCGTTGTTAGTCATGCGGAATTCTTCGGGCGCAAAGTACAATACGAACATGGAGAGTTCGTATACTCCGGCCTCAGCGGACGAGTGGAGTAACACCGATGATGAAGGTGAAGTAGTCGTCGAGGTAGTCGTTGACTTTGACTTCCGTGTCGCTGCTCGTAGCTCTGCTTCTTTTTGGCGGATTCTTTCCTTGGTTGACATTACATCGAGGTGTATCCTTGCTTGTCAATCTCCCGTGGCGCATGAGTTGACCGTCATCGCAGTCCGGATCCAGCAGGATCTCCCATAACAGCCTCCCCCGTGGCTTTCTGTCGTGCTTCGTCTATCTGGATAGTGGGAGCGGTTTTCCACCTGTGGGTTGATTTAGGTCGTACTGCATTTCCGAGCAGTAGGTTATTGCCTTCGTCCGGCGATGTGAGCGCCATCGGGAGTTGGACTCTGCTTCCATGTCTGTGAGCGTCGTCCTGAATCCATCGAAAGCCATGGCGAGCACTCCGAACGTGCAGTATAGCGTTTTCCTGATGCAGCGCATTACTCTCTCGTAAAACGCACCCTGCCACGGTGCGCAAAGAGTAATCTGACATCCTTTTCGCCGTGCTACTTCGCCTTGGAATTGTGTGCTGTGAACCATGTTTCCTGTGGCGTTTCCGGAGATTTGCTCACTCGACAAAACCTTTGGTGCTTTGTCCGTGGTGATAGTCCGCGTTACTCCTTTTCTTGCATGAGATCTCCGAACCTCTGTGCTGTTCATCAGTCGTTTCTGGGTTTGCCTCTGTCCGCTGCTCTGTTTCCCGTCAGAACTACTGTGTCCCACATTGCTGTGCTTTGCTCGGCATTGCGTGTAATGATACGAATGAAGTTCGTATACTCCCGCCTCACTGAGAAGATTGCGACTGAGACGTTCCGGTTTTGTTTTGTCTCCTCTAAGTGTCGATGTGATGCCTTCTCCAGCTAATGCTTTCCTTTTGAGGTTCCGTTCTCGTTGCGAATTCTTCTAGGTGTTCACTTTGCTTCTTGAAGATTCGCTTTCTCTTTTTTTCTTCCTTCTTCGACGTTTGTCTTGTACGAGCCGCTTCCTCTTGTGCCTTCTTGTGTTCTTGGTGAAAATTTTGTCGGCTAGCATCGCTCCCGCTTCTCCTGTCCCGCGTCAAAATGGTATCGTAGCGCTGGCACATACTGTACACCCACTCTCGCAATTCCTGGTACTGCTGTTCAACCTCCTTCTTAAAGTCCATCAAATCCTCCTGCAGTCTGTGGATCGTTCCTCCTCTAATGCCTTTGCTCGTTTCGGTATCACATGAAGAGAGAGAAGCCATTTTTGATCGCACATTAGCAGGCTTTACAGGTGCCTCTGTAGAAGTGAGGCTGACTGATGGGTGCGTATCGGGTTCCATATCGGGGCCTATATTGATGGACGAGAACTTCTTCTTTCTTGATGCTGCTGACTGTGCCTTTACTGCTTTCATAGCTTCGTTTTTAAAGGAGAAGTCCGATGCGATGGTAGTAGGCACCTTTTTCTTGAGCTGTACGACTGCCAGGGTTGCAGTTTTCGTTGCTTCGTTTGTCAGCATAGGAGTTTCTTCTTCAATCACTCCATTTGCGTCCATTACCGCATTTGCTGCCGATTTTGGCTGGTTCCGTGTTTCCACTGCTTCGGGGTAATTTTGACTGCCGGGTAGAAATTTGTTCCATCTTCCTGCCTCCCGTGGAGTATTTTTCATGCAAGTGGAAGTGTGGTGCTTTCCGTGGCATTTTCTACAGTTGCCGCTTAAACATGACGCTATTCTGTGATTCTCGGATCCACACTTGAAAAACCTGTTGGCTTCAAACAGAAACCTTCCTTTTTGTAATGCTGTGGGTATCTGCGAGCAGATCGTCCATCTGTGCCCTATATCTCCACAGCATTCGCATAAAGTTCCGCGCTTCCAGTTCTTCTCCAGATCTGGAAGTGTTTTGATGGATGTTGCGTTGTGCAACGGAGAACCTCTGAATTGACCGTCGACTGAGAGCATATAGTTCAGCTGTTCTTCTGTGAGATGACATTGTCAGTGGCATCAAGCCATTGGGTAAAGGTCCACTCGGACTTGTGTCTCTCCTGATGTTGCAGTCTTTTCTCTATGGCTGCTCTTCTTATGCGTGTATGAAACTTTTGCACAAAGATTTGTATCGTTAGTTGGTTATTGAGCTGCTCCTCATGTTCTTCTAACTGTGCGGCGATCGTTGACAGTTTGTCCCATAACTGTCGCTGTTCCGCCGTACTGGGTCCCCTTGCAATACAGTTGTGTAGGCTTCTATTCAACTCTAAAGCAATGCCGTCCTTATTGCCATACCTCTTGATGAGGTGTTGAATTGCCTTGTCGTAAATATTTGCCGAGACAAAGAATTGTGAGACCGATTGTTTCGCTTCCCCCTCAGGGATGCCAGCAAATAATCAAACTTCTGCAACTGTGTTAGGCTCTGATCGTGGACATTGGCTTTGTAAGGGCCCAGATATTATCCCATTCCCATTTTCTTCCTGTGAATGTTGGGATAGGGATTGTCGGGAGTTTGTTGACTGCAGCTAGGCTTGTGGTGCCGTCTGTGTCAACCCCGACATTATCTTCCTGGGTTTCTTTTGGCCGTGTCCTGTGCTCGTGCAGTTTCACTATTGTTGCCTGAGTCATTTCTATATATTAGGTTGTTACATAAGTCTTGTTACACTTAACTTCTAACAGTAAGTGATAAGTCAGCGATAAATCATACACCTCATAGTCTTTGCAGGGCTCCAAGATACCATTCGATAGAGCAAAGCAAGCTCTACAAGACGGTGTGCAAAGTTTCGCACCAGCTCCGACCCACCGTAAGTTTGCATTCAAAATCTGAGTACTAGTGAAGACTCAAAAATTGCGAAATCATATCTTTGTTCAGAAAAATCCTACGATTCTCCAACAAATTGCCCATTGTATCAAACACTCACTATGTACCATTGCTGTATTTATTCCTTATCTAGAAATCGAGAAAAGGAAAATTTTTTAGTTTTTACAAAAACGAAGCTATGCTGTTCCTATGCATGTAGCTGTATACTACAAGCTCTAAGAAGTATAACCGTAAATTTTCAGCTTTCCAGGAGCCCTGGTTTTTGAAAAATACCAAAATTAGCTTCTCCCACTCGGGTGTTCAATGCTAAAATAGGTGATTTCCGAAAACTAGAGCTTCTGGAGAGCTGAAAATTTACGGTTATACTTCTAAGGACTTGTAGTGTACAGCTACATAGACAGAAACAGCATAGCTTCGTTTTTGTAAACTAAAGAATTTTCCTTTTCTCGATTTCTAGATAAGGAATAAATACAGCAATGGTACATATGAGTGTCTGATAAAGTGGGCAATTTTTGTGAGCAAGTTGGAGAATCGTGGGATTTTTCTGAACAAAGATATGAATTTTTCGCAATTTTTGAGTCTTCAGTAGTACTCAGATTTTGGATGCAAACTTACGGTGGGTCGGAGCTGGTGTGAAACTTTGCAAACCGTCTTGTAAAGCATGCTTTGCTCTATCGAATGGTATCTTGGAGCCCTGCAAAGATTATGAGATGTATGACTTACCGCCGTTAGAATTTAAGTGTAATAAGACTTATGACAACCTAATACTTGTCCAGGTGGTCCTCCTCTTCTTCTGTGGTTTCTGGAGTTTCATCAAAAGTTTTAGTTAGCTTTCTCAATGATGATTCGAGAAGCTCGATGTACCTCTCACAGGTTCGTATCCTCTTTGCGCTTTCCCTGACTTGTGTGTCTGTGAGCGCTTGAATGGAGTCCTGGAGCCAATTCATCGCTGCGTCATTTCTCTTCGTGACGAGTCCTTTCAGTGATCTTACTGTGCCACTCATGGTTAATTGAGTTAGTTGTATGAGAGACTGTGACTCGTTGTGCGGCGACTGTGACTCTTACTGTGTGGGACCTGTGAGGTGACTGTGACTCGCTGTGCAATAGCTGTGCCAAACCCTGTGAGGTGCCGTAAGTAACGTGCAAATTGTTAGTCGAAAGCGTTACTCGTATGCAACAAATCGTACCTCCCGGCCGATGCACCACTTGTATGGTCGGTGATCAGTGTGTGTGCGGTGTGTGGACTGTGATCGATTGCTGCCACGCAGGACTTACGCACAGCGAGTACACCTCAAACTTGGGTAATTGAACTTTTATTTTAAAAATACTGACTAACCACTACAAAGCGGGTACGATACTAACACACAGTAATATATATTCAAGGTGACAGCCGAATATTCTGTGAATTGCTGTGAGGGGTTCCGTGAACTGAGACACTGTCCGGGATCCATGACAGACTGTGAAAGAAGCAAGAAAAATGTGTACAATAAAGAATACAAAGCATGACACAAAGGTAAAACAAGAAAAGGCAAATCAAACAAGATGAGACACATTATGTTCACTACGTTCTGTCACCTACTTTTATATGCGAGCGATTATAAACAAAATACCAGTATGCATGAGAATATCACAGATAAGCTAACAGCTAACAAAACAATAGATACGAGCCTGTGAAAAACTTCGCGCTTCTGTCGTTGTTAGTCATGCGGAATTCTTCGGGCGCAAAGTACAATACGAACATGGAGAGTTCGTATAACCCTCAACGTTTGTGTCGTTAATCAAAAATCAAGTAACATCAGGTTCTTGTTCATCAGTAGTGTCTCGGATGAGCTGAGATCTGATGAGCGTCGCAAACTCTGTTATGGTGGTGTAGATGTCGCGAAATTTTGAGAATGAAAGGTGTGAACCTATTAGTCCTACCGAGGTGTACTGCCACCCCCCCCCCCCCCAGATGCATATTGCGCACTTATCGGGCGCTTGCCGGACCACCCGCTGGCGTTATTCGGGCGTTTATCGGATCACCCGCGGGCATTGTCGGGCGCTTACCGGGCACTTATCGGCGCGTCCTCGGGATGGGCGTGGCGTCGCCCGTGGGTGGCCGGCGGGTGTTCGCCATAATTGTCTGAGTATGTAAGTCTTTCCTTACCTGGTAACTTGGTCGCTTTCCTACATGGCACATGATCGGGACACTCTGCATTCAGACCGCTTGATTTCAGCTTTTTGTGAAAGGATATGAAAGCGCAGAAACTGTATTTTCGCGCTGGGACTACGACCATTCTCTGCTGTCCGCAGAAGAAGATAAGAGGTAATTTCTTGCAGGTCAAGGTATTGAGGTTTTGTCAAAATTGAGCCATTAGCGAAGCTTTCTATGTTTTGTTATAGGTTCAAATATCTTTTCCAAAAAATGATAGTGTTGGACTATATAATCCGCAATACAGATCGTCACATGGACAATTTGTTGATACGGTGAATCTTTAAGCAACAAAGACTTTCGCTGATTTTTGCGTCAAAAATCGAGTAAAATGGGTATAATACCTTGTAGAAAGCAATCAATCGCTTAAAGGCCCTCACAAATGTCCATACTTGACACTTTACCGTTGAGCAAATCGTTTTTTTTTTATAAACTAGTGAACCAGTATCTAAAGGTGCCATTTGGAAAAGCGTTTGCTTCGGGACCCTCCGTGGTCTCCCGCTATTTGGAGATTTTTGCATTGAGCTAACGACTCTTTATATACTAGAGATGTCTTGTAGTACCCTTTCGATAAAGCAAGGCAAGCACTACAAGATAACGTTCATGCTTTAGCACGAACTTGAATCCGCGTAAAGTTCAAAGATAGTTCTGAACTAGTGAACCAGTTTAAAGGTATTATTTGGTAGAGCGTTCGCTTCGGGACCCGCCCTCGGTTCCCCGCTATTTGCAAATTTTTGAATTAAGCTAACGATTCTTTATACACCTGGTGCGTGAAATAGTCGAAAAGAGTTGGGTCCCAGTTCGGAAAATCCTACGACCTTTAACATGCTCACACATATACTCTTCACGGTAGTTTCGTTCCTCGATTTCTAGCCATGAAAAAAAACCTGTTTAGATGCTGAGAATATAAGCGCAAGCAAAATAGTCCCCCCCTCCTCCCATCGAGAATGGATTGCGAAATTTTCGAAAGCTATTTACACGGGTTCCAAAAATGTGCTAGGGACTTGTTTATACTTGTAAACAATCAAAATTGTTCTTAAAAGCTTCCAAAACTTCAAGTTAGACTTGTAAAAAATTCATTCGGAGCCGTGGATACCGCCCGCCCTTTCTTTTCAAAATTGGATCGGGCCGGCAAAAAATTCAAAAGAATAAGTTTTTATAGCAAGCGGCGTTCGCGCCACGCATCTTTATTCGAGAAAGATCTTGTTCCTCTCCCCCCCCCCCCCCTCCCCTCCGCGCGGAAATCGTGGGTAGGCCACTGATAAAAGGGTTTCTGAGGCCTATCTAGTAATAAAAGTGTGCCTTGCACTTGTAATAAATCAAAGCAAAGTTCGCAAAGAAAACCTGGTAATATTATTATGCTTGTACAAGCTAGTTCAGCAAGCTGATATGGTCAAAACCGCATTCTTCTAAAGACTAAAATTCTAGAGATGCTCAGTAATAGTGTCACAGAAATCGTTAACTTTTTTGTTCATCGTAATTCACTTATATCTACAGGCATGTACCCGGAAAAGTTATTGAACTGGCAGCAATCGATAATGGATTGGCTTTCCCTGTGAAACATCCGGAATGTGTGAGCAGATTTAGAACCTTTCCTTTCCGATGGACAACGTATCGATGGGCGCAACAGGTTTGCTAATTTTTCTTTGACCGAAATCACAAGAGCTGATCTTCTTAATGGTATTAGAAGTTTTGGAAATCTTCTACCAGATCAAATCGGGGTTTTCACATAAATTTATGAAGCATGTAAGCTATAGCTTCGCGCGCTCTGAACCAATGTGGCTTTTGCGCCTTCGCCCGGCAGTAGCCTTTGCCATTGGCTCAACTAGTCGGCATAAAGTTTTCCTCCACGTTACAAAAAAAATTATAACCTAATTTTGGTGTTCATGGATATGTATCCAGAAAATTTGCAACGAATGTAATTTGAAGAGAATGGAAGAATATTAAACGTTTAGAAAAATTGTGAGTATGTAGAGCCAAAAGCTAAGAGGACAATACGTGGGATGGCTGAGGTGCAGTGATTATATTTGCTTAAATCTATATTTATGTAGAAATTCTTGCAAAGTTAAATAAGGACGAAGAAAAGAGAAATGGAAGAATTTGCAGAAATTATGTGTAGACCTAAAGGATGTCGAAAAAGAAATTTAAAATAAACGAAGCACAGTGTTGTCCATAGTGATAAGGTTACAAATTACTTTACTGACAATGAGGTCAACAGTTTATCCATTCTTACTGAGAAAAATGCGGAACTTGGACAAAAATGGTTTTCGAGACCTAGGGTGGACGGTGCCTTTAAGAAAAATAATAAGAACTGATTAAAAATCTTTGTTGATTCTTTTTCTTCCAATCGAAGAATTCGTAATTGCACAAACTTCCATGTTTAGCTGAAGGAACGAGTTCCAAAAAAACAGACAAAAAGAGTATAACGTGCTAATTTTTTTCTTGACGCCTCTCCAATAGGCAATCGTAGCAGAATAAATTCCATCTATAGTAGCTACAGCTCTCAACACTTGGTTGAAAAGTGAGTCCGGGAAACAGAAAAGTGCCGAGAAAATCCTTATTTTACTTCTGACATCAATCGAGCTCATTCAGTCGAAATACCATTTTCAGCCATGGGATGAAAATCTTCGCGAACACTTGCTAGCCTCAATCACCCCTGAGTTCCTCCATGAATTATGTCACGAGTTGAAGGTAAGGCAGCTCCTACAGATTCTGAACTTTCAAAGATCAACCTTTCTGTATAACCTTCTTCGCCAGTCAGTGATTAATCAGATTCTGTCGTGCTTTATTGGTTTGAGCTGATCTTTGCGGTAACTGCGCATGGCATTTGAAAAAAGCGAAGAAATTTTCAATTCGTTGACCCACAAGCGAGAAAACTTGCTTTAACTTTGTCATGCTTTGTAACTTGGTAAGGCGGAGACTCATTTTTGAAGTGCCAGTTGTGTTACACATTGCCACTAGATATCTAGGTCACTCAAATTAATGTCATGAACAACTGTAATTCTACACATTTTGACAGATATACTGTCAGGTTATCATCCGTCACTGATTCCGAAAGTTGAAGTGGTATGAGTACTGGTCGGAGCATGTGACACAATCTCATGTAGAAGCCCACAAATCTCAAGGGGTTTGGCACATTCTTTGGGAGTTGCGCTAAATACATACAAGTGAGAAGACTGTTAAAAGAGCACACTCATTCAAAATGGTGCGCGCATATAGCTAGTTGCCGAAAACCCAAGGAATTATATCGACAAAGCTTTATGTGTAATAGTGGTTACCTAATTATGTGCTCAGCCAAAGTGGCGTCACCTAATTTCTAACCTCTTTTGTTTTAAGATCCTCTTCCGTCATCGCCACATCAACAGCCGCTACTTGGTCTTCAGCCAAATGCGTGTTGTGAGAGGACAGGTGTGCACGATAAAAACATAAAGTTTTCACTTAACTAATTACTGGGCACAAAAATATTCTTCCTAAAAACACATATTTTAGGTTTGGAATCTGCATGAATGTCTAGCCAGGAACGAACCTCCGGCCGCTCTACAGTTGAAGGAGCCCATTCTGGTCTCTAGAAGGTGGGCACAAATGTACTGGTGTTTACTAACAATATACAAAAAGATTGCTCTCGCAAATTTTGACCTTAGCCCCATTTTAACTTTCAATTTATCGAGGGCTTTCCTGGATCTGAGATCGTGATACTTTTTCCAAACTCTTTGCTGAGTCATTCTGGCGATGCGATAGACCAAAGGTCAGGTAAATTGTAGAAGCTGGGTGATTCGTGCTTTCACGCAAATTCCTCACATATACTTTTGTAAATCTGAGCCTGGTTAGCTGAGCGACCCCTACTCTTTTTATAGCAACCACTGTAATAGAAATAGTTCGAAAAAAGGCAATAAACAAGCATTGCAGAGTGAGTTCGGATTTTCAGGTATCGGAGAAACCATCCTACGAATGGAAACTGGAATCAGTGGTTTCGCGTTCTCAAATGCGACAATTACTATAGAGGATGGTGCTAGGCTAACGTGAAGTAAATGAGACATTGAGCCTTAATCAAAAAAATTAGGCGAGAAAATAAAGCTATTCGATTAATTATCTCAAACTGCGTTGAGCATGAAAGCATCACCCCTAAAGGGACCAAAATGATTTGCCTAAAAAATCATTACTTTGATTATCTTAGATGCTATCCAGGCAAAATTCTACCAAAAACAATCTTCAAAGGCAGTATCCACTCAAACCTACGTTATGCCTGTTTTTGCCATTCGAGGCCTTTCCGTGCACCTGAGTTGAAGTGCAAAATGTGCAAACAAAAGGACGATTTCTGAGGGCCTCTATCCTGAAAGCGTAGACGTTGCTGTAGTTTCAGTTGGATGGGCGGAGCTAGATAAGGCGGGTGTGGCTTGAATGAATTTTCGCGGGTTTCAGATCCATTTTCTTTGTTCATAGACCACTTAAAGAACCGGACCAATGCAGATGTCCTACTCCTAGGGCATTCTTACAGATTAGATACTAGTCAGAGATTATAGATGCGGCGACGTTGCGTTCAGTAATATTATTTTCGGAGCGTAGGTTTATCGGAACAGCATCGCGAGCTTACGGTTTCGACCAAAAAAATTTTATTCTTTTTTCAAGCATTGATAGTCGTATATCTTATATATAAAGCTGAATGTCTGTTTGTCTGTCTGTCTGTCTGTCTGTCTGTCTGTCTGTATGTCTGTCTGTCTGTGTGTACGTATGTTCCGAATAGAAAATTCCATTTCTGAACCGATCGGGACCAAACTTGGCACACATACACTTCGGGCCCCGGCGGGTGTCATAGGCTACTTTTCGTCATCGATCGATATCGATTTTATCGATTTTTATCGATTTTTTTGCTGAGTTCACCTCCGGGGCTGGGAGTTGGCACAGGGGGGTAATCGAGCATGGGGATTCCGAATACAATATTGGTTTTCAGGATTATCGATTACTTTTATCGATTTTATCGATTTTTTTGCAAAGTTTGAGCTACGGGGCTGGGAGTTGGCACAGGGGGGTAATCGAGCATGGGGATTCCGAATACAATATTGGTTTTCAGGATTATCGATTACTTTTATCGATTTTATCGATTTTTTTGCAAAGTTTGAGCTACGGGGCTGGGAGTTCGCGCAGGGGGGTAATCGAGCATGGGGATTCCGAATACAATATTGGTTTTCGGGATTATCGATTACTTTTATCGATTTTATCGATTTTTTGCAAAATTTGAGCTAGGGGGCTGGGAGTTGGCAGAGGGGGGTAATCGAGCATGCTGATCACCCCCAAGGGGGGTGATCAGCATGTTCGATTACACCCCTGTGCCAAATTCCAGCCCCCTAGCTCAAATTTTCAAAAAATCGATAAAATCGATAAAAGTAATGGACGATCTTGAAAACTAATATTGTATTCGTAATCTGCATGCTCGATTACCCCCTGTGCAAACTCACAGCCCCGCAGGTCAAACTTTACAAAAAAAATCGATAAAATCGATAAAAGTAATGGACGATCCTGAAAACTAATATTGTGTTCGTAATCTGCATGCTCGATTACCCCCCTGTGCAAACTCCCAGCCCCGCAGGTCAAACTTTACAAAAAAATCGATAAGATCGATAAAAGTAATGGACGATCCTGAAAACTAATATTGTGTTCGTAATCCCCATGCTCACTTCCCCCCTGTGCCAACTCCTAGCCCTGTAGGTGAACTCTGCAAAGAAATCGATAAAAATCGATAAAATCGACATTGATCGATAACGAAAAGTGGATTGTGACACCCGCCGGGGCCCGAAGTGTATGTGTGCCAAGTTTGGTCCGGATACGGCGGAGCCGGGTAAGCCAGCTAGTTAAGTATATTACGCGCGAAACTGCTGAAGTGTCACGATAGCGCGATTTGTGCAATGCGATGTTCACTGGCAAGCCTTTGGCCGCGCTGCGCGTGTTCCGCAATCTACGGTCAGTCCATGCTTTTCGACGACTTGACGGTACAAATTCATAGAACAAGTATTTTCGAATGTGTTATAGTTGCTTGCATGCGCTACGCATGGTATTACAGCTATAATGGCACACATAACGTAGCATTTTGAAACCGTTCATGACTAAATTGTCTAGGAGATCATCGATTATATTGAAAATGCACAGGAATTTTCGAGATTATGAGAACAAACTTAAGAAAATGCTGAAGATACACAGTTTGGAGAATTAATGGCAGAGAATGTTGATTTCTACCACAAGTACAAGGCGTTTCTAGAAATAAAGAAAGTTTTCATCTGGTGGGAAAATTGAAGAATCGTAAGCGAATCGTATAAGTAAACTATCGGTAGATAAGAATTTGGCGAACTGTACAACCGTTAGCTGAAATGAGAAAAATTTTGAATTTCGTAATTTCTGTTACAATAGATTTATAGAGAGTATATCACAGCCGCTATAATCACGGTAATTACTGATAAAGCAGATGACGAATTACAGAACTCATAGTTGCAAGTGTAGCATTGTCCGGTACCTCCTTGAGCTTGACAGTTAGACTGAAAATGTGCTATTTGTGATAAAAAAAAACATGAGGGAAATTTATTACCTGTAACGTTTGGCACGCTACTGCAGGATTTGCTGGGTCGTTACAGCCTTTGTAGACCTGTTCATCTGTAAAGGACCGATAATTTCAAGTAATGCTTTGAACATTGATGAATTTATCAGTACTTGATCAAAGCAGTTTCTATGTTGATTAGTACAGAATTAGGGTGGAATGCGCAAGAAGCTAGCATTTATTCCCTGAATTTTTTTATAAGCATTGTTTTGAGACCAATAACAAACTAAGATCGCGGCTTACAAACTTCTAATGCAAATCCCCGCTAGGAATATATCACACATGTTATTGTTTAGACAAATTGCTAGGCAAAATGAAAATCTAGCTGTTCGTTTGTGTTTGAAGTGGACTTCAATAGGCTTTGATCAAAGTATATAAAAGTCAACATCTTTTAAATCGGCAAATCTAGTTTGTTGGAGGCTGTCAGTGACGCTTCTTACCCGGTTTGGACTCTTTTGTACGGAAAAGCGTTTTTCGCCCTAAGGTCTTGGGCATACCTCACTCGATTTTAGTCGCGACGCGATTTGGCATACTTCATCTGTGCATAACTCATTGTAAGGAGTTTCTGAATGTACGAAAGACAGGGCATTTTATCAACCTACGAAGGTCAGACATGCTGTGCATTTGGCGTTTGCCAATATTGAATTTGAAGGCATCTGGGAAATTGCCAGATCTCGTGGCGACTGAGATCGCGCGAAATATACACACGGCCTAAGGCAAAATGCTGTTCTCTTCTTTAATATTAGAACTTTTTGTGTTTTTTTGTGCAGAGCTTACAAAGAAAGTGTCACCTATGCAAGTAGCATTCGGAAGGTCTAATCTGCTCAGATATTCATCAAACAAATAACCCATCTTGCAAACTCAATAAATTCATGGACTATTTTTCGAAAAATGCAACCTTTCGTGCGGTTTTATCGAAAAAAAGGTGTGATTAATTACATGAAGTAGTTTTTGACAATTTATTGCTTAAGACAGTGTCCTTCTAATAACATTTGCAAGTAAAAAAGGCGACCTGGGTCAGATCAAAGTTATGCGCTCTCTGTGTATTTTTCAATTAGAACTTGATGTCACAAGCAGAAAAATCCATTATAACATTGTCTTTTTTACTAGGCTATATAGGTCTAGACCTATATAGTTCAATAAAAAACACCCTGCACCTTGAACGAGGAAGAGATACCAGATTAATGAACGCAAATCACGAATACTTTTGCTTTCAAATGTTTTATGATCTTTGGGCATAATTCATAAGCGTTGCTTTTTTTACTAGCATAAATAGCATTGTTGCACGAAGAGATTTTGTATTACCAAAATGGTACCAAAATTAAATTTTACTCACATCCTCTCAGTCTGCAGACGAACTTCATGCATGACATTATGTGGCCCGGACATTGTTGCACGAAGAGATTTTGTATTGTGTTCATAACATTGCACTGTAGACTCTCTAAATGATGCCCATTTTTCTTGCAGAAAACAAAAAGAATTTACTCACCTGCCGTAGCTATAAGGCTAAAAGTGATGAAACAAAGCAAGAACAAGCGCATAACTAGAGAGAAGTTTAGGCAATAGCTGTCGTTGTCCGGCAACACGTCGCTTTGAGAAGAATTCAAGATGAATAGGAGTTGCTAGGAGAGCAAACAACACTGTGATTTTCACGACGTCCTTCGATGAATGATCACGACCTGTGTAAGCATAAGCATATCGTAGCGAGTGACCCATCGTAAAAGATGAATTGTTATTGCGTTGGAAAATGGCTTGAAAAGAGTTATCGCAATGTTCTGAACCGTTTCTGTTCGTAAAACTTAATGAAATCGTAAAATGACATAAAAATGAAAAAAGGACCCAAGTCAAAGTTAGCAGCACTCCAATACCTTTACAAGGAAACTGCCTCAGCTAGTTTTTATGCTAAGTGCAGAGCTTTTTCACCATGCTGTGCCAGGAGTGCTTAGCAATCAAAGACCAATGCTCCTTGCTTGACACACCCTAGGTGACCAGGTATAATCTATGACGCATGACCTAGGAAAGCTGTGGTCAATGGTGCATGGTTAGCAGCCAATTACTTCCTGTTTTCTGTCGTGGATCAATCATGACATTCGTAGAGTGGGTTAACGATTAGAGCAAAGAGATTGGGAAGTTCTACGCCCTTTGAAATAATTTGACAGGCTAAGAGTACTTCTTGATTTGCTAGATTAGAACCAGGGTCAAGCGTGGGGTGCGGCACGCCCCACCTGGGAGGTCGTATTGAGGAGTCAAGAGGGGAGGGGGTCGTAGTTGGGTAATCTGATAATAGTATTAACATGATATTCGTATCACATCCATAATTAGCATGTCAATTAACCCCTGTAGACAAAGTTTGAGCGAATTCTGAAGATTCAAGATACTAGGCTACCTAAATGAAATGGTCAAATTCCAACATGGCTAACTTTGTTTCAAAGGTGAAATAGCTATTCGTCTTTGCACTCAGGACAAAGCACTACTCCTTCTTTGTCCACCTCAGGAATCCCGCTTCAGAAGACCTGCAAACTGTGGAATTAGAAGCCAACCAAAATCTCGTTTTCCCCATTTTTCGCTTTTGATCGCTGTGCTTTCACCAAATATCACTCAGAGCTAAGAAGACAAATCAGGCTCCAAACAGTCCTATGGAATCTACAAGGTTTAGGCTATCGATTCATGTAAATACTGTCCTCTAAAAATGTTCTTTTGATATAGTTAATGGGGTGCGGCACACCCCCTTAAAAGCTGCGGCTGCCGCAGCTTTTGAGGGGGTATGCCGCACTCCCCTAACTTGCCTTCAAAATCCAGAAAGCGCTCCATTGCTGGTAGGTGTTGCTGGTATGAGTATTGAGCACATAGCTTCTTCTTGCTACATTGGAAATTTGGAGCCGAATGCCCCACCCATAAGAAAATTATGGCCCTTTCAATATGCCCATTCAGATCAAAATCAGCCGTCAAATTACGTGTGATTGTAAAGTGCAGTCACAGAAAATCGGGCGTAGAGCTCTCAGAAAACTGAAAACTTCTAGAAAAAGATGGTGTCCTCCAGAATGTCACACTTTGAGGTCCAGAGGTTAAGAGGAGGAAGAAGGGCTCGTTTGAGGGCTTTCATGGGAGGGGGGGGGGGGGAGTTTCGAAAGACTTGTGCCTGACCTCTTTCTCAACTCTGGTAATGCTATCTTAGGTATATAGTTCAGGGGGGGGGGTCTTATTGAGACAGCAATCAGGGGGGGGGGTCGTAACCAGCGATCGTGTGCCACACCCCTTGCTTGACCCTGATTAGAACTTAAATGCCATGCCTGGGTTTTGAAAATTTTCGGCCATACTTTTGACTGTGGATAAGCTATGGCTGTGCACAATACTAATTGTTGATGATTCAATTTCCTTTTAAAATTGTGGCGAGTAATTAAAGTTGACGAACCAATGCTAAGTTTTTTGGAGAGATAGTTTTGCTTGTCAGAAACGAATTCAATGCTGTGTTATGTATAGAGCCCATTACTTGTGTATCCAAAAAAGCAATTCAGAACTGGAGCCACGGCAGCAAAGCGTTTTCTATGTGAAAAAATTGGTGCGCTCCCACACCAAGATTTTTGACTTTCAATGCAACATTTCTACCCAGTGTTCTTAACTTTACGATAAAGTACGTATTACTCGGATGCTTATCGACTTAAATAGTAATTACGCAACTTCTCCGAGGTACTTCTTGTGGCGATGCTCTGATCGCACTCCCTCATTCCCTGGTACATAGATATGAACCCAATGTTAATGAAGAGTGATTAGTGAGTTTATTTCCAAGTGAACAGTAGTGCATGAAAGTTAGAATCGGCTTCCCCCATATTTCGACATTTCCATCCCTAGGAAAGAAGAGGAAGACTCAACAACATTATACAATGTTTACTATCTTTGGAAACCTTGAAATGAGTAGTATGTATCTAAAGAATGCTCCCATATTGATAAAAAGATTGTTTTACTTGCTTAAAACGCATTACGAGTCACAGTCGAATTTATATTGTGTACTAGGGTGAGTCAAAAGTAATGAGAACATCGCAATTCTTTTTAAACCTACTCTCAAATCAGGTAGAATGTGTATAAGCAAGTGCTTTGAACGGTGTCCGACACAGTTTTTCTTTTTCTTTCCGACAGATATAATTTTAAACCAAATCACTTCGTAGTTGCTGAAATAGTTGCAGAAATTTTGAACACAAAGCGTTTTCCGTTCAAAATCTGTGGCTTTTTCAAACTTGTCAAAAAATTCTAGATTGTGGTAATTTGAAGCGGTAAACGCTTGATTATCTTGCAGAATCAAGGTTTGATGATAAACTATTTTCGAAGCTCTCAAATTTGAAAGATTTTGTAGGGTTTAACGCATTTTTGTTTTGAGCCATTTTTGAAAATTTGGGGCTATTGCCAAAAAGGTTTTCAAAAGGCCTCAGAATGCCAGTTTCGAATTAACTAAATAGTAATTTGCATCAAGCAGGGCCTGCTTTGCCCTTGTGTTATCGGATTTGTTTAAAAATATCAAACTGAAAATTCTGAGGATTAGCTAAATTCAAGAAAAGCAATGACGGGCTCAAAATTTGGGGAAATTTTTTCGACAACTAAGAAGACAACTGGGCCATTGGCCTCACTGCTGAAAAGAGAAAGAAAAGCTACGTATTATGCAATTCAGGGTACTTTTCTATCGTTACTCTACACGAGTTGCGGAAAGTTCGAAATGGGGAGCTAAAAGTTCTCATTACTTTTGACTCGACCTAATATATATAGCATTCGTTGTCGATGTTTCATTCGTAGATCGCAATAAATAAGACTTTAATAACATTATAGTTTTGCTCACTATCTTTGATAATTTTGAAATGAGTGCTATTGTGTCTAGAGAATGTTCATATTGATAAAAAGATTGTTTCGCTTGCTCAGAATGTAATTTCACGAGTTAACAGCAGTCCACTTCATAATTGTGTATATCTAGCACTCGTTGTCGATGCCTCATTCGTAGACCGCAGTACGGCGAAAGCTTGAAAATTAGCTTGCGTATTTTCTCCACAGTCGATTTACACCACTACTTCGAATCAACTTTTATCTGTACAGGAGATGTCACCTCAAGCAGCTTTCAAACATGTAAACTATATCCTAACTCCTAAAGAACTTAGATTCTATATCTTGCTCGGAACTTCAAATGGTACATATATGCCATTAGTTTGTTGAGTTACGCGGATAAACGTTGTCCGTTTTGGCAGTTCCTGTAATTGAGGGTTGGGAGATTACAGTTTGATCTTCTCGACCAAAACAGCAAAATCTACGCACTGATAGCTCTGTGGAAGAAAAAAATCGAATCCGAAAATGGATTACCTTCAACTTAGCAGAACCCGTATATGTACATGCAGATCGAAGACCACCGAGTATATCGAGAACAGTCAGATTCACATCACCCCTTCAACGTTAGTAATCTGTTTTCGTAGGGCATTGAAGTTTTGTACCTGTAGGGAATGGTAATGGTTTTTCCTTCACTAGCTCTATATTCGGCTACGCTACCGTGATGTTTGTTCATCGCTGTGTCTGAACTCATTCCATAGAAGAGCTTGAACTTCTCAAAAAAAAACCACCATGAATTCAATCATTTCAATGCTGATAATAAAACTTACTCTTCCATTTTGCTCAATAACTTCGCCCCCACACTGATCGTGACCAGCAAATAAACCGCCAATCATCACGAAATCGGCTCCTAAAATTCCAGAATGACGAAATGACCAAATTCGTACTCATTTATCTAATTTCTTCTAAACTTGTGTGAAAAGCGTATTTTTATTACATTTATATTTCGCATTTCAAATTCAAAAAATTTGTTTTGGGATCAATTAACCTGCTCCAAAAGCTTTTGCAACATCACCAGAATTCGTGCATCCACCATCGCTTATTACATGACCCCGTAGACCGTGAGCAGCATCGGCGCATTCCAACACCTGAAGTTTTGAAAACTTTTGAATCTATCAAACCAAAGCAGACTGAACTTTACCGCACTAAGTTGTGGGTATCCCACTCCCGTTTTCTTCCGCGTTGTACAGACAGATCCTGGGCCGATACCTACCTGCAAAATTCTTTTTGCTATATCTCGCACCATATATGGAACAGACTTGTGCTTGTAATCATTACCTTGATAATATCAGCACCAGAGATCAGAAGCTCTTCAACCATCTCGCCCGTGACCACGTTTCCAGCCATTATCGTATGCCTGCAATACAATAGCAATTAGATCAAACCCATTTTTTAAAGTAATATGATAAGATCTGGAAAGTTCGCTTTTAAATATCTACTGACGAGGAAGGTACTTTCAATGGCCGCGGCCTTTTGATATGAGATGCATATCTTCTGAGGCAGCTTCGAACGCTGATTCTAAATCTGCTTTCCCTTTCTGCGGAGCGCTCTTCTGAAGAGAGTTATGGAAGCCTGAAAATCCTATTTTGGGGGCGATCCTCAAGCTAGAGAGTGCTGTTATGTGAGTTGGTGGTGTAGTGGTGTAATGGTTAGTTGTTGGGATTAGAGGAGAAAGGCCGATGGTTCGAATCCAGTGCAGAACATAACATTTTGCACTACGAATGTGAGTTCAAAAACCACTCTAATTCTGCAGACACTTACTGTAATGCCCTTGGCAAATGTGACTTGAGGGAAAAAATATTCTGGCAGAACCGCTTGCTTGTTGAGATTTGGTTTTCTCCGCAAAAAATTCATGTACAGAGGTGAAGCAAAATTACAAAGTAAGCAAAACACAGACATTTCTCACAACGACAACAGCGTATGAAGAAAGCCTCCGCGCAATATTTATGCTCGGTACCCAATAAGTTATTAGGAGAACAATATTGGAGTGGCGTTTCAAATGAATTCAGAATCTTTCAAATGACTTCAATTAAACCGGATTCGAACCATCAATCTTTTGCCAACAACTAACCACAACTGCACCACCAACGTACGTAGCAGCGTTCTCAAACTCAAGGAGCGCCCCAGAACAGCATATTCGGACTTCCCATAACTCTCTTCAGAAGAGCGCTATGCAAAAGAGGAAAGCAGATTTGAAATCAGCGTTTGAAGCTGCTTCAGAAGATATGCATCTCATATCAAAAGGCCACGGCCATTGAAAATACTTCCCTTGTGAGTAAAAAATATTCTTCACCTCGGAAATGCCTCTCGAACTTTGCGTATGAAGTCGATGAAGGTTTCAGAGTATCCGTTTGCAACATCTAAGCATATATAGTCCAAAGATGGTATCTCTTTGCAGATAGACCGTAGCTGAAAAAACGACAAAATTCACAAGTTTTGTAACCGAAAATAGGCGTTCTGATTAATGGCTAGTGCATACTTAGTCGACTTTGTCTGTGTTACATACACGCTTATTCCCTGATCTGGAAAGAAGTTACCTTGTCAAAATCCTTATCGGAAATCCCTGAAGACACCGCAACATGTTGAAAAAAGTCCTCGTCTTCTTTGTTGTTCTCAAAGAAACCCTTCCATTGATCAAGCTGAAGTGCAGATGAGATAAAGTTTGGGGGTGGTCTCCGTAAATAATTGATTAAGCCGGACTTTCTCTTTCGCGTTATAGAGCATTCATTTATCTAACCTTTCCTTGTACGTATAATGATTAGTGGCAGGGTTACCTTTTCTCCGCAAGAAAATGATACTTTCTGATACTCATGTTCACTCTAAAAAATCACCAACCGTTTACTGGAGCACCAGGCGTGTAGGTTTTTGAGAAAGACAGTGAAAACAAAAAAAAATTTCTGGCATAGGTTTTTTGCTAAAGAGAAAAATGCCGGGATGCAAAAACTCACGGTATAGTGTTTATGTATTGTGGTAAATAGCTTGTGTTGAGCAAGAGCAGTGGCCATTTCAAATGTTCCTACCGTATCCATATTGGAGGCTACTACTGGTATACCATTGTAGGTCTTCTTCGAGTTTTTGAAGGTAAATCTGAATATTATAGACTAAAGTTTTACTTTCTTCATAGGCTACTCACTCTCGTGCGAGATCCACATCAGCTCTACTTTTTAACGTTGATCTCTTGGGGCGTAGAAGTACATCTTTGAAATCAAGTTTCGGGTCGAATTCGATCCGAGGCATTCTGAAATTTGAATTTTGTTAACAAAGCGCTTGACTCTTCATCGCTAGACCGAATAAAAATAATGGAAAATTTGTATTGCAAGGTCGATGCGGTAGCGGCGTATATTCGGAAGGAAAGAAAAAAGGTAATTTTTACAATTCATATACTAGTACATTCAGATGGAAGAAAAAAATTTCAAAGAAAGTTGCAACGTACGGCTACAATTAAGAAAAACAAATATATTCCTTAAAGAAAAGACGCAAAACGGCCGCTTATTGTCATACAGTCATTGAAAGCGAAGAAAAGAATGTAAGACTGAGCTTATGCCAATGAACAAACAGTTTTCGATCAAAAAGAGATGCAACCACGTATTTTTTTCAGCAGTAGTGTTTCGTATAATTACCTGGAAAAGATTAAGGGCAGTAAATGCCGGTTCTCGGCTCAATCAATTTCGACAATGTTTTTTGATAAAAAATTTAATATGTATTATAAGTATGATAAAAAATAATCAATATGTATTATAAGTACTTATTTGTTGGAAGACATATTCGATCATCCTAGACAATGTATAGGAAAGAATAATTCTTACAATCAATTCAGTAAGCACGAAAATCATAGGAAAAGACCATATGGCTTACTGAGCTGAGGATTTTGGGACAATAACATCAAACAATTTGATTCAAACAGGTGACGCCGCATTGCGTTTTTTGAGTAATGAGTTTCAAGATAAGACTCCTTCACTCACAAAGTAAATGCATTGTAAACGCCAACAAGCATGCAAAGACCAAAGATGAGTTATTTGTGGCGAGACTGCAACTATTTGACCATTGCGGTGCTCATTTGCTCGAAGTCTTATGTGCTGCAAATTTCCTTTTCGGTTAAGCAGGACGAAGGCTTAAGAAGGAACAGGATAGAGTCTAACCGCAGTTCAGCTGAGAGAGACTACTTGGCGCAGAGAGTGTGAAAAGGAGTTGCGTAATGGCATTATATAGGCCGGATTCGGAAAACATTCTCATAAAATGTTGGTATATTTACCATGTAAACAACCTACCATTTTTTCATGCTAATATGTATTCATTCTCGCATGGTTTATCAACAAACTAAAAGCATTCGTTCGGCAAAAATTCAGGTGGACGCAGATGAATGTTTGTCGTTAAAATGAGTATTTTGGAAAGTAATTATGAATAACGCATCAGTGTGCACTAAAGCATCGTAAAAACTATGCAACCAGCAGAACACTGGATAAAAATGTAGTCAGTAGCAAAGTATCGTGAAAAGTTTTATACCTACAATCAGACGATTTCAAATAATGTGACCATTTCCTCACTTTTGCTTCATAGAAAAATAGTTGATTTTTCTCACAATCATATGTTCACATCAATTTTCATTGTTACTATGTTTGCATTCCAAAGATTCCAAAAAAAGAAGCAGGCGGCTGTTCCATAAGACAGCAGTGCAATAGTTGAAAGAAAACGTGACTGGGTCATTTGTGTTATTTTTGTATCAAACTATCCATCATGTCAACTCCATATTGAGTACTGTCCGTTTTGATCTATAGAAAAAGGTACAAATACCAAACCAAAAAACAATCGGTACTCGACATATTTTCGAGCTCTTTATCGACCTTGCACACCAATCTTTTGATGATTATGGCAAATACGCTGAAATCATACCGATAAAAAATAGCAATAGCAAAAAATTTAAGTTTGCCACTCTATACTTAGGTGCTAAGTATAACATGAGTGCATCTATTTTTCAACTAGTACTAAATTTAAGAATTTGGTGGTCACTAAACGCTAACTGCTACGCCTCACTTTGCATGACAAGTTCGGAATTGCATTGAGGAAAGTAATAAAATATCTTTGAGTGAAAGTGTTCGCACAGGTTAAATGTAGAGATAAGAGTAGAGGCAGATGCAATCAACATTACAGGCCATCTCCTGTCTCGTTTTCTGAGCAGTCCAGGGATTTGAGTGAGAGATTATAAGAGAATGTCAACTGTCTCCGTAAACACATGCATTCACAACAGTTGCTCGGCGACAATCACTGAATTAGCATGCTTAAAATATCGATGAGATCACGTTTGAGCCGATGTTTTTTGTGTGTTTATCCTTATTGACAGACAATGACAGATAGTCAAAGGGTCATCTTATAAGACTCGGAAGTGAAAGAACCTAAATGTCGGGGAAATATATGACAGCGTGGTTATGACAGCTGTGCTTTCAGCAGTTTTACGTTGTAAGAAAAGATATAACCTTCAATCGTTTGCCAGTGGAAGAGCAACAAGTTGTCCCAACAAAGTGCCGACATAGTACATTCAGCATGTCACCAAACCACAGAGCTCAACATGTAAATCTTTTCTTCCTTTATTTTATCAAAATCCCAAATCTAGGAAGGTGGAGAGAGAGAAAGGTTGACTCACCGTCCATGGGGCTACGAATGTCTCAGCACAGCTATTTACTTCAAAATGATGGGAAGCAACGTAGCAAGTCAATGCACGGTGCACAAGTCGGAATCAAATTAAAAGAAATCCAGTTTGGCCGTTTTGGGTGATAATCATCGCAGCCGCCATGCAAAACTTATTTTAAATATGTTTCGTTATCCGCCAACAATTCCTACTCAGGCAATCGACGGCATACCTCCGGAGCGAAAGTGGGAGGGTGCCGGGGTTCGACCAGCGGGGGCTTGCCACTCGTGCTCCGGAGCCCTCCCATTTCACCCATTTTGGTGCTCCGGGGCTTTTCCAAAATCTGGCGCACCTCCAGAGCAGAGATTTGCGAGCCCCGGGGAGGGGTCCCATCCGCCTTCTTGTGACGTCACGGTGGACCCTCGGGCAAAGTGGCAAACCCCCGCTGGGCAGACCCCGGCACCCTCCCACTTTCGCTCCGAAGGTATGCCGTCGATGTCTGAGGAGGAGGATTTATGAACGCCTCTGCATGCATGTCATGTCATTCGCTAATCAAATCTCACTCATGAAAATTGTTAAAACGCAATTTTTTCAGAAGACATTTTTTGTTTTCAAGGATACAAAATCTATAGTGGGATTTTGAGAATCCAAGTCATAACTTTCCAGAAAATATGCGCCTCCACCTCGTTAGAACTGCATAATCATAGAGTTGAAATGCAAGCTTTGTTAGCGGTTTTATCTAAAAGGCTTCAGGGTAAGCGCGCTCAAAGTTCTAGGAGCAGTTCTAATCAGGAGGCAGGTTACCGTTCGAGTTCTATAAGACGGCCTGCGAATGTTTGCACCAGCTTCGATACATCTCGAGTTAAGCCGAAATTTAGAAGGTTTCAGATGCCCGAATTGAAAAAGTCCAAATCGTTTCTTTCAAACTTACCGGATCCCCTACTCGCTCCTGCATTTACATTCCCATTAGACATCCATGTATGCCGCTATATGCTGTTGCATCTGTTTTAGAATCTTAGAAAACTGAGCTTTTCAAACCTCTAAAAACCCAAACTTTGCTGTTCACGCGTAAGTAAATGTAGGCTGCATGTCTTCATAAATATGTATATCTGCGAAATTTCAGCTTCATACAAGCTAAAAGAAATATCGAATTGAGCTTTTTCTGCTAAGGTCTGCACAAAGCTGGAAATTTGTAACTGTACCTCTAGAGGCTTGTATATAGTATATACAGGGAGGGATAAAAGTCTGGGCGCCTAGTACATTTTCAGCTAAAATCAGAAGGAAAGCACTTACAAAGGAAGTCATTTAACTTAGGTCGGGCTTTTGAAATGAGACACATATTAGGTCGTTCCGAAAGTTCTTTCCGTTTTTTCAACCTATCTCAAAAACATATAGAATGAAGGTAGGGAAGCGCTTCAAGCACTATCCGACGCATTTTTTCTTCCTCTTTTCAACAGTCATTTTCCTTTGTCGCTTGCTCCTGTGGTCAGTGAGATAATGGCTGAAATTTCGAACCCATGGTTTTTACCATGTCCAACTTTGGCAATTTTTCACAATTTTCTTTTTTGACTTTTGGAGAAGCTTTAATAGCAGTTGGATAGAGTAAACAAAGTGCAATTTAATGGAACTTTCTGGCAATTTCAACTGGCTTCTCAATATTTTTTGAGACAACTTTTCCAGAAGTCTTCACTTTTTCGAAGTCACAAAACACACAAACGCTCCGAACATTAGCAAATCTTCGGATTTTGACACTATCAAAAGTCGTTTATGATTGTCCACTATTTTTACAAAGTAACTGAGTGTTTACCGCTTCGAAATACAAGATTTCCCGTTTTACGTGCACACCCTTAGGCGGGTTCAAAATCAAGGGTTATGGAAATTTTATCGTCAAAACACCCCACAACTTGGGAAGAAAAATACTCAGTAGAAAGAGGAGGAAAAGCTGCATCGAATGACACCATAGTTGTGCGCCGTTTTATGTTCTATGGTTCTTGCTATTACCAAAAGTGGAATTTGATAGCATCAGAAAAATAATTCTAAAAAAATTTTAGGGCTAGCAATAGACGCCAGAAAATTCCATTAAGTTGCACTTTGTTTACTCTATCCAACTGCTATTAAGACTTCTCCAAAAGTCAAAAAAGAAAATTGTGAAAAATTGCCAAAGCTGGACATGGTAAAAACCATGGGTTCGAAATTTCAGCCATTATCTCACTGACCACAAGAGCAAGCGACACAGAAATATAACTGTTGAAAAGAGGAAGAAAAAATGCGTCGGATAGTGCTTGAAATATCTCCCTACTTTCATTCAATGTGTTTTTATGATAGATTGAAAAAACGGAAAGAACTTTCGGAACGACCTAATATATTTAGAATCAGCTCGGAACGCTGATTCCAAATATGCTATCCTTAGCTGCGAAGCGTTTCTCTGAAGCGAGTTATGAGCTTTTTTAGTATGTGTCATTGACATACAATTGAATATGGAAAGAAGGTCTTTGGATGAAAATCTGCCCAAAAAGTGGTGGAAAATCAAAATAACATCAAATCAAATCATTTGGGTTTGATAGGGTATAATATGCATTTGAACCACTACCTGGATGACGATACCGTAGCATGCCTTAGTCGGTCAACACGCAAAATTTGCTCAGGAAAAAGCTCATAACTCGCTTCAGAGTAATGCTTCGCAGCTAAGAAAAGCAGATTTGAAATCAGCATTCCAAGCTGATTCCAACCATATGTGTCTCATTTCAGAAGCCCGACCTAAGTTAAGTGACTTCCCTTGTTAGAAACAAAAAAGTTTGGTGTACATATAAGCCGAACCTTCACAAATACAGCGCAACCTCATATTCTGAGATGGCCTCTTTTAGAAAGCAGTCCTTCGAAAGCTTAGCGAGTCTGTCGTGGTATGCAGGCAGTCGTGATTGAGTTCGTCCCACGCCTTCACGCTTCTTTCACTAAGCAAAGGTGCAGTATGATAGAGCAAGCTTTTGGCTACATTTACATTTACGAGAATTTTTTTGCAATATTTGGGAAAAATCTTGGAGTTCTAAGAAGGCAAGTGTACTCGCATACTAAATATTTGGATGCGATTGCTTGAACAGGAGAACGGAAAAATCGTGGTCTAAAAAGTACTGACGATGAGATTGCTCCGAAAGAATTCAAGTAAGTGCTTACATAGAAGACTTAAAAAAGATTGTAGCCTAAAAGTCAGTACAAACTCTTGAGTCCAATCTGACCTTTTTTGTATAAATTTTATCTATATCCCAAAAAGCACTTTCTAAGCGTCCTGGAAACTCTCCTCTCCACCTAGTTACTGCCTTCCAAGGACTGGTGAACAGCCTTGCCACATCCATGCGCGCATGCTGCGCGCCGAAGACGGCATGCCGCCAATGCAAAAAGCACGAAGGTTTTCTCCGACCACATACTAGTGGATTTCGGTAACTTTCTGCTAAGTCAACGCGAACTTTGTTTCCGAAAATTCCTGGAACCACCTCATGCCCGGCCCTTGAACGTAAGTACTGAGCAAGTACAAACTGCGCTGTACGACTAAGTTATACTTATGATGAAGGTTCAAGAAATGATGTCATATAATACAGTCATTTCGCTTCAAGTAGAAAATTTAGGAACTGGTAAGCTATGTTTTGTTAAAGGCTCCTTTTTATTGGACTGTAAGCCGTTTCGTTGCCTCAACTCGTACGACGAATGGGCCTCAGAAGTTAGTTGAGGTTCGAGCATAAATCAAAAGAGATTTTTGAATAGTAATAAAGAGAATCTAGTGGGCATCTACATTGCTCTCTCTATATTCAAAAGCAAGTTACTCGCATGAATTCATGCTGCACGTTGTTCACTGTAAGGGAAAACAGTTGTACTGCGCATGTTTACAACACGCCACGATCGGAGAAGCTGAGATCGAGCTGATATGGCGTGGAGCAATTCAAAGCAGCGAAGAGGAGGAAGAAGAAACAAAGACACGACCACGTCCGGAGCAGTACGCTTAAGCCACGACGGTTCCAGCTCTACCCGCTTTACACCTATATTCCACCAATTATTCCCTACCAAATTGATGTTCATATATTCGTGTACTTCTACTGATTACTCATTTCATAATGTGTCCTGCTGCTGCAAGTGAGGGCTCAATACTTACAGCGAGTGGTGTCATATGCGTAAGTGTATTTGACTTCTAGTTGATGCTCTGTAGATGCATCGATCGATTGTAAGTATAAGTATCGAGTTAGTAGGCCAGCAACAACCTTATGTCTTGAGCTTTTTGTTTTTTGTTTTAGATTAATGCACCGTTTTTTCTACATCCTTTCCTGATTTCAATGATTTGTCGTTGATATTTCTTTCAATGTCAACAAAGCAATTCAATAAGACTGTGTTAGGATTCGTTTAAGCTAACGATCCGCGTTGTCCGTTTCGTAACCGAGACTATCACCTTCGACACCTGCTTCAGCAACAGTCGTAGACATGAAGTTCTGAAAATTTGCGAAACATTTTGTGAAAACGTTCTAACACGCTTGGGAAAGGAAACATGCGGACATTTCACGGAAGGCAAGTTAAGGTGCCAAAGCACAAGCAAGAACAACGCACACATTTCAACGATTAAGAACGAGAGGACTTTACTATGGCAGAGAAACATGACTTTCAAACTACGAGATGGTAGACATAATATTCCGACAGCGTCTGCTAAATATCACCGACTGGGATGATAGGATATGTAGACTGCTTTGATCTCTTAATCTGCAACGAAACCTCGCAAGTACCCGAACTATATGACAATGGTGGCAAGAGGTAGACTCATTTAAGTAGGAGATATCCACCAGTTCAACTTATTTACGTAGGAGATATCCACCAGCTCAAACTATATGCCAAGCTATAGCTATATGCTCGAAGTTATCCAAATGGTTTGAGAGCTCAAAGCATTATGATTGTCATTCAAAAAGCGTGTGCCGCATTAGTGTCGATTTCAAATGACAACCTTCCGGAAACCTGACCAAACCCCATTGCCCAGCAATGCTATGAAGGCTCTGACGTTGCTGTAAGCGTGACCTACGGTATACGTTCCCATGAATGCTTTATCTCAACTTCATCTATTACGAACTGATGACGCCCGCGAAAAGAAAATGTCAACAAATATAAGAAAAAGAGATGGCAACAGATAATGGCACAATCATACTTTATTGATCATTTATTTGGCTCATAGTCAATCATTTATTTGAATATTTCATCATTTATTTGTACCGTGCGATGGAGTCCGCCCAAGTCTAAGGTAGTTCCACGACGTAAGGGATAAATGTGTTGGGCAATGTTCTGGTGCTAGCAAATGGTGCGTCGGCTACAAGGACAAGAAGAACACCGAAGAGTCACCGGTACGGTTTGGGATTTCCGCTTTCGCTTTGAATTTTTTCATCGCTATTCTATAGAGACGAAAAATTGTTTTGCATCATTATTCATGTAAACCAATTTAGTATTGTGATTCATTGCAACTGAGCTCTGAGTTTCTGAGTTAACTGCTAACGTTTTAATGAGTCCACCTTGATTATTCAATGGCAGACTTTCTCAAAAACTCCACTGAAGTCTATCGCACATCCACCTTGGTATTTCCTGTACGAAAATGGCAAGCCCCATGACGCTTAAGTCGCAGAAAGCATAGCGAACGCGTTATTGCAATAACTTAATACCAAATGTAGAGAAAGACAAGGAGCTAGCAAGCTGAGGTGCAACATCGCTGACAGAGCCTAACAATGCGCAGCAAAAACAAAAATTGAACTTGGTGAGTCAGTAAAAGACTCACTCACAACATTCACGGCTACCATTGATTCTCTGCTTGGTTCAATGACGAACAAGAAATGCACGCGCAAGAATACATAGACAAAGCGCATGCGAAATGGATCGCGAGCGTTCAATACTGAACGACGTAGAAGCTAAAATATAGTGCGCACGATTAAATGCATTCAGCAGCGGATAAAACTTCATTGGAGAGTCAAGTGTTGGCGAAGCCGAAACTTCCAGCTATTCGTTTACCGGTTTTCAAGGATAAGGCTGGCTTTGAGGATTTTCGGACTTATTGAAGCTAATGTAATATTCAGCCTTTAGTTGAATTGCAAAAAGCCAATTATTTGGTAAGCGATCTTCAAGGGAGGCGCGCGAAAATACAACGATATCCTGTGTTTGAAGTTGATTATGATCATGCGATCGAGCTTGATCAAAATGAGTATGGGATGACTTCAAAATTGTCAATCCTACAGCATCAGCTTGAAAGCGAAAGCAAAAGCAAAAGCAGAGAGTAATACAATTCAAACGCAAAGGAAAGAGGAAACTGCTGGAATATCTCAAACCGATAACGACAGCTCCAAAAAAAGCGTTGAATTAAAAGGCTCTTTTACATCTTAAAAAACACTTTCAAAATTCTTCCCACACAACGAAATCTTATAGCAGAAAATGGAGAGGTGGAAAACTGAAGAAATTTGGAACATCAGTGAGCTGAAAGAATTGGACAAACAAGCTACTCAACAGGATATAGAGGAATGGTGACAGAAGACCGAGCACACCCTCAGATAATAGCCGGGGGCAGGGGTCCGCAAACTCGCGCTTTTTGCAGGCGGTCAGCAGAATTTTGGGGCGTGTCCAAACCTTCAGCGGGCGGCACTTCCTTTACGGTCGCATATTCTGCCAGCGGGCAACAATACAGCATTTCCTGCCAGCGCTCCGCAAATAATTTCTTGTAGCTAGAGCTGGCTTAACTTTCAGCAAGAGCTAGACTCTTTTAACGCAGTTTCGGGCATACGCCGAGTAAAGATGAGACTCTACATGGCAGAGGTGTCATAGATGGTTTAATTACTCGAGTTTGGGGTACCTTCTTTAAGCGGAAGATACCCACGGGCTGTGCGGTCCTTCACAAAGGACCGTGCGGCCCACAATAATTTTGCATATTCTCGCGGAAAGTCCGCGAGAATGCGGCCACTTGGCCCAACTTATCCATAGAAAGACCACGACAGTTCTCCGAGCGTTCATTTAAAAATTGGCCAAATGATTCCAAATTTCTGTAAGCGGACCGCATGAAATCAGCGAACTATTTTTTCGGTGCCCGCTTGCTCAAAATTCGCATGGCCGCCTGCCCCCGGCAATTATTTGAACAAATTAATGAAATCCGAACAAGGGAACAGAAACATCAGAAGCCCAAAGCCACGCGTTGAGGTTTTGAGCAAGCGGTGTTAAGTGGCCCTTTCAACCAGCAGATGCCAAGCTGGTGATCAACAGTTTACACGAAGACGAAGAACCTTTTGTGGAGCCTACGAAGATGGTGAAAAAGTAGATTTAGACCAAAAAAAACAAGAACTTTGCCTCGAAATTTGCCAGATGGAGCAAGCAGTGAATGTAAAATATCGGTCGAAGAGTTAGAATGCAGACCAAGATGCGCTCCGCAAAGGATCCAGCAGAAGCTTATAGATCAAGGACACGAAAAGTTTGAAATGTGCCTTTAGCAAGACGGGGCGTTATTACTTCAGCCCAGAAGTTCAAGAAGTAGAGCCGTATGTGCATCCTTAGAGATCAAAGAAGATGTGATAATTGTTTGGAGATGTTGTGCCCGACCAACCGAGAGTGCTCAAGATGACCTACGCCATGTTTTTATTGCTGTAGAAACAGCCATCATTCTGCGATCTGTACACTCCCTAATGGAGCAAAATCGTCTAAGGAATTTTCGTTTACGCAAAAAATGTAGCCCATCGCGATCTGACAAGCTCAAGGCCCACAAGACGCGTTGAGCCTTTACTCCGACGAAGATTAAGGTGGGGCGGCATTATAGCGGCTGTAAGCGCGTTCTACAGTATACTTTTCCATGAATGCTCTATCTCAACTTCATCTATTATAGATTGATGACGCCCGCGAGAAGAGAATGTCAACAAGTATACAAGGAAGAGATGGCAACATGGCAGTGGTACAAGCAACTTCAACTTGACCCTAATCTGTTGTTGTTTTATTCATCCTTTATTCACTCTTTATCTGAGTCATAGTCATCCACTTGCTTTTGCCCAGTTGGAGGTGTCTTCACGACGTATGCAATAAAAGTTGATTGTTAAGCGATCTGGTCTAATGTTAGCAAACCCTAATAGGCGATGTAACCGCAGATTCACATCCAGGGCCCGGCACGAGTCCGTTTCTAGGCTTTTTGAAAACGAAATCCCCCCTGACTTTCGAAAATTTTACGAAGTCCCCTTTGATCCTTGCCCTACCCCCCCCCCCCACACCCTCCAACTGTGATTGGATCAACAATCTTCCGGGTCAAGCCGAGAAGCAAACAAAAGCATGTTGTAAAGGGTGTTCAAAAATTGTGACGATGACGCGACCGCGCGCGCACGCACGCCACTCATGGAAATGGCATTTTCTTGGTTTTCTCTAGTTGAATTGTTTTTTGCTCAAGTATGATAACGTTCAGATAAGTGGAAGTGACTGAGCTGAACGTTGAGGTGATGCCCTCTTTTATGAGCATTTTATGCTTCTGCGAGCGCAAAGTCCGCAGTAAAAACCGTCGTCACGATTTTATAAATGAACTTTATCAAACGTGAACAACTTTATCAAATCAACTTCATAATTCAATTTCGAAAAAACTCCAAGAAAGATTGCTTCGAAGGAAAAAAACATCATTAAAGATGGGATTATTTCCGGAGATGGAACCGACCGCCCAACACAGTGTGTTCATGATAGTACGCAAATTTGATCGGTGCTCTCTTAAACAAACAGTTTTTTTTTTTGAAAAAAGGATAACCTAACAGAAATACTCCCTTGCAAAACTTACTTGTACAGCTTCCTCCTCGGATGTTCTTTTGCACAGACGTGTCTCGACAAGAAAATGATATTATAGGTGGAGATGGGACGGTGAATGGATTCAGCCGATACAACTCGGATGTTAAGGCACACCAGTAATCCGAGCACACCTGAAACGAAAAATAAGATACTCAAACCATGCATTGAGATTCTATCAAATGCTACTGCCTTCCATCATATTCGCAAATGCCCACACGACAACCCAAAATTTTACATTCTCAGTCGGTTCAAAGTTTTATAGGAGACAAGAGCCAAAATTTGCCCCATCCCCAAAAGCACCCGAAATTTGCACAGTCCCTCTGATAAGTGTGGGGAAGACGCCGACGCTATGATCAGACTATGTAAAAAGATGGAAATGACATGGCGCACATGACAGACAAAGAGAAAAGATGACTAACCTTGAAGATTTCCACTCTTCGACTTGACGGCTGGAAGAAGTGTTCTATGGCGTACTTGTGATATTCCGTAACTTGAGGACAAGCTGGATCACAGTTCTGCAAGATAGTGCGATCTGAACAAGGCGCGAGAAATAAACTTGTGATGAAAGAAACTTGTGACCAAAGCAGCATCATCGTAAGCACGCCAACCACCGTGATTAATACAAGTATAACAGCACGACCAAGATAGGAGAAGTATAAATAAACAAAAAACAAAAGGCAGACGTGGGTTTGGTGAAATCCGTGTTACTGTGACTAAGCCACACAATGTTTTCCGCCAGACTTAGGTGTACAAGCAAAAGAGCAAAGGAATGTGAAAGGGACTGGTCTGCAGATTTCTGTCCAACTTTATAAAGATAAGTTGTTTTAAATCAAGTTAGTTTTATAAGTTGTTTTTGTGAGCCACTAAAGGAAAAAGAAACTCTTTTGAAAACCACATACCTCAGAAAGCGCAAAATGATCCCTCAAAAATGCCACGAGAATCGCGCCAGGCATGAAATAAATTTCTGATCTTGATCAATCCCTTTTTGGTAAGCTGCGCAAGGTCTGCCTTCTCAGCAAGCATACTTCCAATCTAAATAAAACGCCTTTATCGGCTGCTCACTCCAAAATGAAATTTCACCTACTTGGAGGTAGCACAGAACATGATACCAAACATTGCCATTTTGAATCCTACTTTAGAGAGCGAAACGTCAATATGGATTTTTCGACAAGAGTGAGCCAATCCTAGCGACCCGGCATCTCACAGCATAAGAACTGAAACTGATATGGTCACTTGCGGTTGATGACCTTGTATATCGTAGTTTGAGCTTTCAACTAACCATCGGTTTCGATTGTCTTGAGAAATCATTTAATTGCCAGCCAAAAACTGTGTTATTTCGTGTTTTCAGCTGCAGAAATTGAACCAGGTGGATTTCGATGACAGTACTGATAAGGAAAGCTACCTAACTTAGTTCGGCCTGCCGGCAAGGGACATACATATTCCGAATCAGCTTTGAACGCTGATTCCAAATATGTGCGAAGCGAGTTATGGGCTCTTTAATGTGCGGAATTGGCATACTACTGAAATGGAAAGACTGCATGTAGGTAAAAATCTGCACGAGAAAGGTTCTGAGATATCGAAATAACATCCAAATCAATCTTTACTCACTGAAGAGAAGCTTAACGCAAGAATATTAACACTAGCTGATACTGCCGTAATAAATCTTTCTTAAAGATCGAACTAAGCTAAGTATCTTCCCTTCTAAGTTCCAAAAGCGACAATTCAGCATGTAGGGAAAACAAGCTGGCAGGGGTATATGAATAGTGTGAGCAAAATGTGTCAGAAACATAAAAGAATAGCGAGATTACCCTAGCATGTTCTTGGCTTACAACAACACCAATAATTATCGCAAAACAAGAATAATAATAAATGTAAAACAACTGCAGTGAAACTCACTTCCGTGGGCAAATTAGGACGGAGGGCACTTTGGTTGATGAGTTGACTCTTATAAACTGACTCTTTCGTAGCGTCCACATACCATCTTTTACATTTGTATCTGAAGAAGTACATGTAAGAACCAATGGTTGGATCTTTTGCATATTCTTCTTCGCGAAGCTTCGCTGAGTTGTAGTCCATCATATCTCCTGCAAAAGCTCGACTAAAGAGTAGGTCTCGGAGACGACAATACATGCAGCGAAATGAAGCTAAAATTACAAACCTTTGTACTCAATAACAAAGTCATTTTCACAAATGATTTGGCAGCTCAAGTGCCACCTCCTTTCCTTTCGTTATTAGACTTCAAGGAGCGGCTCATTGGTCAAATTGTGATGGCATCGCGCAAAGCATACTTCTTTTCTTCCTAAATGTTTTACCTGAGCAAACCATAATGTTGATGATTTTAGATAACTAATGAGGAAATTATCCTTCGCCAACCTCCAACTGTTTGCCTGTTTTTCGGGAACTTTGGAGAACAAGGAAGAAGTCCGTGATCTTGTGATTCGAGACATCTTGCACAGCTTTCCTTCTAAACGTGATAGAGATTAGTATTTAGCAAGTTGTTGAGCGTTTCGATAAAGATGCTATACATGCTAGAATTTTAGCAAACATCACAGATCCCCGCCAAACTTCTTAGAAACTTTGTGCAAATTCAACACCCTAACACCTGCATTATTGTATCATACCCGCCGAATTTGCGTCGCTGTCTACAGTATAGGCCAAGGAATAAGGTACAAGTCGAAAAAGGTGTACGTTTTGAGTAGGAAGACACCATACAAATTGCGGGCAACTATGGACGTAATCTAGTTGTAAACGGCCAAAAATACACATAGCCAAAAGCAAGTCGATCAACTGTTCTTTTGCTGCATGAGGTCAAAGAGGACCGCTCTACCACAATTACCCTTTTAATCTATTTTGTTAGCCTTATTCTGCACTTCAACAAGCACTCCTACCCAACGCCTTACAAAATAACCAGGATATATAGTAAAAATGTGCTAAATAAAGGAATACAGCAGAGGTATAAACAGAACAAAATGTAACCAACGGGCTATTCCTCCGAGTCTGTACAACAGCTGTTCTTGCATCGATGACATTCTGCGACTGTATTTCTTTCGCCATGGGTTTTTTACTCTCATGCGTTTCCGTCAGAGAAACAAGCGAACTCCTCTTCTTTCGACGACATCTTGAGCAATAACCTTCCCGAGCATCCCTTCCTAGAAACATAACCACTTGTCGAACATGAAACTGTCTGAATTCAAACTAATCGAGAATATTTATGAAGGCAAATCAAAGCGCTATAGGTATTTAAACAACAAAAAGCTTGAACTAGCAGGAAGAACAAGAACAGAGAACGATTAGAACAGAGGAAATACTCAATGTTTGTGGCAAAGCGACCAAGCGATCGAAATTTCGCTCAGAGCAACGCGGATACGGCGGTGGAGCGCGATATCTAACATAACGATTTTCGGAAAAAAGGTGATAAAAAACGACGGACAGGGGGTAATATGAAAATGTTTCTATGCTCAGGGATAGATTTTTGACCGGGGCATCCGTCCATGCTGAAATGATCCAAAACTTATGTGAAGTGACGAAAATATATGCTCCAGACGATCTCAGATCGTCTGGTGGCCGTCTGGAGACGATCTAATTTTGGAAAAAGTATTACTTCACATAAGTTTTCAAATATTTTTACATATTTCTTCCGCAAATAATTTTCTATATGTACGTTGCAATTTTGGTGTCATATGATTCTGTGTGCGCTGTAAACAAGCGATTTGTTTATTTTGGCCTTGCTTTCAAATCGCGCGCACTTTCCGCCATACACGATAGAGCATGTCAATCGTGTGATAACCTGTCCGAAAACCTTGTGTTCGTCTAGATGGTCTATCTTCGTTTATCTTTGAAATACAGGAGGAAGTGAAGGAATTATCATAACTTATAATAGCTGGGTCCTTACGTTTTTTGTGTTGTGTCTGTCTGTCTGTCTGAAACAAATTTGCAAGTTGCAATTTGAGTACTTGAGACTATGGTCTATCCTGGATTCCAGCCTTAGAGTAGATCTCTTGGAGTACTCCTTAAGGCTTTCAAATAAGGACTTTTAGGTGTTGGAGTTGGTTAGTGGAGAGTTAGCGATGATCACTGCTTGGAAGCACATCTACAAAAGTGCCTTAGAGATCGAATATCCTTAGAGATAGGAGACTATGGGTCTAGACTCTAACTTAGAGGTAATTTCTTGGTCATTTTCATTGCTTCTGCTTGTTGCATGCACTTTTTGGTGCTTTTGTCACTACTCACGTTCTTCGTCGAGTTTTCCTTGTGTAATGTGTGCTCGAGTCTGTTTAGGTTTCAAAGCCAATTGTACCATTCTTGGTAAAGGTTGTGTCGATCCTCAATTGACAAGCATCCAGATCCAGGAGAAAATTACCGTAAAACCTACTAATTTTCCTAAAAACTGAGTTGATCTCTCGATCACTTGTGCACCATAATCATGTTTCTCTCAAATTCTTGTTTACGCCATCTCAGGAACGACTCTCTCTATGTTCCTTTGAAGGCTGCTCCGCTACCACATGAGAAGTCTATAAGAGGAGGGCATGTAGATGATACGACTTTGACAGAATTTAAGTGCTACGTTTCAGCATCGTATCTTTGTGTACTGCTCACTCATACCTTTTGCAGAGCAAAGCTGTTGGCTGTTTACGAAGAGAGTCTGCCCTCTCATCGAGGATCTTAGTGGTACAGAAAGAGCACGGAAAATATCACTGAACTTGTTGAGAGGGTCAGTGGTAAAAAAACCCTAAAAATCTTGAAAAAGATTTTGAAATTTTCTGGGCTTGGTCTTTTGGTCCAGGTAGAGCCAAAGCTAAAATTGTCATTCCTAACTGTTATAGAAAACCTATATGGCAGCAGTGAGTGACTTGCAAATCAGTTTCTACCCTCCTCAAGCTTTACGAATCCGGGCAGATTTGCACCACAATATCTCGCTAGTGAAGCATGTACAAAAAATTTTTTTTCCGGGGCTCCGCCCCGGACCCCGCAAAAACGAAGTCCCCTTTGCTTTTTGCTCCAAAAACGAAGTCCAGCCTGCTTCCAGACGATCTGTGCCGGGCCCTGTTCACATCCCGCAATACCGTTTATGTTCGTAAACATCAAAGGACAATTTATTGCATTAGTGTACTCTCATTGTAAGCTGGAGCAGACAATTCATTGTTATCACCTTAAATGGTAAAAGAATAGCATATGAATACATCTTTGTAATCAGGTCCTACAAAAATAACGACGTATCGAATCATTCGCCTCACTCTTCAGTTCGGGATGATAAAAGTAAAAGTAGTAGTACTACTATTTACTAAAACATTCAATCGTTGATTCAGATTTCCTCAACGATCCAAGACATTTGAGCGTGATATTGACAAGTGTCGTCAAGATTAATTCGTACTGAGAAACACTACGAACCGTTGGTATAATTACCCTCTCAACGGACAGTCTTACGATGTATCGTGGCTTACATTCGCAAGCCGCAGATCTACAGTCTCTATCGCGACTTCACAGTGCGAGCTGCAAGATTTACAGTTTCCCAAGTAGTTTTATCTTCTCAATGAATTTGTTACGGAAATGCACGACATCAAGGCGGAACATCAACATTAAGAAGATGCCGTCGCTAAGCTCAACACATGCCATCTGACTCCCGAGCCTCCATATGGAAGGAATTGTTCAACTTCGTTTTCCATTCCGTTTTCCACTTATGCAAAAAGTGTCATCCCTATAATTAGCGCCTTTTTGGGAGCTCTTTCGAGCATCGTTTTCCGACCAAGTTCGAAATACATCAGCACGTTCTTCAAAGTTGGCCAAAAAGGCGAAAAAATCTAGACAAGATAATCAGGGAAATCAAAGGCATTAGTTTTTATGATGTGATCACTGTTTTGATTGATGTAATCGTATCTGTTACTTTCTCCCAAACGAGGGTTTATACGCAAGTTTGAGGCGCTGGTACGATAAAAGGTGCGTGTTTCTGGTGTTACACAACAGCGAAATTCCATCAATGTACCAATCAGGAGCTGAACCCGGGTCTGTATCATAGGAGGGTACAGTGATACCGCTACACCATTGAAATGACCAAATGAAGGCGAAGACGTGCTACAGATACTCGATGACTTAGTGGAAGACGAAGAAGAAGCAGAAGAACAGAATGAGAGAAGGAAACGAAAGATTCGCACTCAATCTCTAAAGGCAGCAGCCAATAAGTGTTACGCATGCTCATCGAAGAATTGGAAGAGCGCTCGACCTGCGCCTCACGGCGCATTCAATACTGAATCATCCACCGCGAAAGAGAAAGACATTTGCGCTGCGCCTTCTGTGACGCCGCCGGCGAGCACTACTCGGACTCCTGCCCTCAGGTCCAGGACGTGGAAATAAGGAGGCGTATTGCGGACTCGGCGCGACGCTGCTACATGTGCTTTGAGGTCCTTCTAATCGTATGCCCTGGGAGCAGGAGGTGCAGGAAATAGGCCAATTAGTGCTACTATGCCGAACCTATGAACATCATTCTGTGGTGAATTCCCAAAAAGGAGCGATTTCATCCGCTTGGAACGCGCACGGGAAGCCCTCCGCTCCGCTGAAAACAAACTCGAGAGGCTCCGCGAGGAACTGCGAATGTTCACGGATAACTGAGGTGGGGCGGGAGTATCGCGGTTACAAGCGCGATTTCTTCAGGAAATCTTCATGCACTCTGTTTTTCATAATTTGCGTTATCTAGTAAACTTATCATTACAGGAGGCAGCGTCGAGATGATGCAGAAAGAAAACAAGTATAAATTGCAACCGTCAAGCAGCAAAGATTCTTCGTGGCCAAGATTGGATTCGTCTTTTTGCAACATGCTCACCTTTCGTCATTATATTTATTCATATTTTTGCCCGCAGTCTTTATACGCGCATTTTTGCTGATTTAACTCTGCTTTCATAGGTTTAGCGCCTAGGTAAATTTGCTGGTGGTCAGCTTATTTACGCATCATATTTTCATTCAAGAAATAAAACAATCGCGGTTTAATTACTCAGATTTGGGGTTATCTCCAACTGCAATAAACTGTTCGCTTCGGTTGGTCTGGTATGTACGAGTGAACCACCGAAGGTCTTCTTCCATGGTATAAGACAGCCCCTTCGAAAGCTGGCCCAAGCTCGTCAAGCGCTAAAACGAGAACGAGCAACGACCAGACTGGAAGAAGATTTTCCATATACATATATCCAAACCGCTAAGGTGTGACAGTATTGGGGCTTACATGCAAAATTACAGTCCTTTTTCACGCTGTGTTGTTTTTCCAAGCTTTTGCAGAATGTAGGTAGAGGAGGTAGATGAAGAGAGTGAAACATTAGCTGAGAAAACATCCGAAGTCTAAATGGTGACGACAGGACCACACCACCACCCCATTTTAATTGAAAAAGAGGAGGGATTCGACTATGAAGGTGATGAGGAGGAAGAGGAAACCTTGATGAAGTTCGGATCAGACAACTATGGTAAGAAATACAGCAATCGCGTCAAGCTTTTTCTGACTTGGAACTAATCATCAGAAAGCTGGAAGCTCGCCCAACTTGCCCACTAACAAGACTCTATCATGGGAGAACCGTCCGGGAGTAAGAGCGCTTTATGAGGTGCGCTTTTTGCAGACCGAAGGGCGCCCATTGCTCGGACTCGTGTCCGGTAATCCCGAACAGGGCTGGCCGCAGGAAGTACCTGACAGAACGCAGAAAATGCAAAATATGCTTGAAATTATTCTGTCCGGGGGAAGGCAATGGTGCAAATAGGTTACTCTTTGTTTTCATTGTCGCAGATACGGCCACCACTCGTCCCTCTGCGAGCTTCCAGAGGTGGGCCAACCTATTTCTGGAGAGCTGACGCGCGCTAGCCAAACGCTTGAGCGAGAACGAGCACGACTACATAGATTAAAGGAAGAGCTCGATATTAACCTAAATCACTAGTCAAGGTGGGGTGGCAGTATCGCGGCTATGAAGTGCCAGCTGCAAGTTACAGGCTCATTTTCCCAAGCGGTGTTATTGTCTAAGTTGATCTTTTATAGCAACAAATGCGCCAACAACAAGCAACACGACGTGAAGCGATGGTTGGAGCAAGATCAGAGCAATAGCGTTGAAGCCATTGTAAGGTTGTAATTCTTCACATAATCCTTCTTATTTCTTTGATAAACGATTGCGCCTGTAGTTGATAACTTACGCCTTTTTGTGTTGCCGGAAAAAACAGAAATCTTACCTTTTGTGCGCCGGACTAAAACTTCTCAGGGCTAAGCTTTTGGTGCGCCTTTTGTGAGTGCACAAACCTTAGAGTAGACTTTAAAGCCCAAATTTTGAAAGTGCGTCAAAAAATAGTTTAATCACTTACTAGTGTAATGGAACTGTATTGATATTTCATCGTTATATTTTGCTATCAAGTTATTTGTGAGATGGGATTTTTAACCCAAGTTTGAGATATCGCCGATAAAGTGCTTGGTTGTGTTGGTTTGGTCAACAGCAAGAACCATCGATCTCTCTAACGAATCCCCCCCCCCGGTATGTGCGACCAAGGAGAAACGAACGATGTCGAGGGCGAAAAGTCAGCTCAACGTCTTTTATATTCACCGAATAGCCATCGGTTCTGGTAGTCTCATTATAATTTTGTCTTTGAACAGGATCAAGTTGAATTTCACCGCTCATCTTTCATGACTTTTGTGCATGACAAGCAGACACACAGATTTTCTCTTTCATAATAGAGATTACTACGCTTGCTAATGTGTTACTGGAATGATAGCTTATCAACTCTCATCTTCCTGAGATTTTTCTGCATGGTTCTGTCTTTTTGCTGCTTTATACCGCCCACAAGTGCATCCACGATCTAACTTTATAACACTTTTTCGGTTTTTGAGCATTAAATGAGGATGAAAATTTAATATGCGCACCGTTTTGGGAGTCAACACGGGAGTAGAGGGGGGGGGCTGCGCAGTTTCGCAAGAGCATGGCGATTTTGCGGTTGCCTAGGTAGCAGAAACCCTGAAAGACTGGTATGGAAGTTGAGAGCATGGAGTGACAATGGAGCTACGAGACGATTTAAGCTCATCCCTGGTATGGTATTTTCTCTGTTGTGACCGGTACTCCTCATTCTGTCGTAAAGTATTAGTAAGAAAATTAGTAACGCGTATTGTGATTGGGTATTGTGATAGGAAACGAATGCGCCGAAGGGAGTAGACGGAGTGCTCAACGGCAGTGCACGTACACCTTAGGCAGTGAAATCGTAGGAAGTTGCCTAGCAAAGAGTGCTGAACCCACCACGTCTCACTCCCCTCCCCCCCCCCCCTCCCTTCCCTCTCCCTAATGTTTACGACATTTGAGGGGGTCAGCTAAGTTAACGTCAGTCTGCCTATGTTGGCCGGCCGGCTGGCGTCTCGTATCTTGTATATCGCTCGTAATTTGTAAAAAAAAATTGGCGGCCGCTGCCTAACTTTTCCAGAATTTGTCGAAATACCCTCATCTCAATTTAAATTCTCGATTCAATTCAAGTTCTGTATGTACCATTCAACAGCATTGCAAGGCGCATCTTCCGGCCTACGCTGAGTATACACAGTAGGATCTGTTTGCAACTTCTCCTACTATGCTACCTCACTGTTCTTCGCAAGAGTGGCAAATCAAGAGTCCAAACAGATCAGAGCAGATGACCTTTAGCCTAAACTTATCGTACCTCAACGGTTTGCCACCAGCGCAGTTAATGGCCGTCTCGGCGAAGAAAAGTCAAATAGCAGCTAGGAGACGTTGCAGCAGATGAATGAACTTTTGTAAGCAGCAAATCGAACAAAAGCTCTGGACAAAATTTTACACATGTCCGTGCAGAATGAGCTCTCAAATATCTACCGTATTTCTGCAGTGTTAACAGAATGTGGCCTCTGGAATCAACACACTGAATAATCTACACGAAAATTTCAAGAAAAATACCTATATCCCATGACTACACACATCTGTATACTGGAAGATGCGCCTCGACGAGCTGAGTCGAATGGTACCCTTGAGTGTAGAATTCATAGACTTTGAATTGAGATAAGGGATTTCGACGAATTCTGAAGAAGTTAGGCGGCGGCCGCCGCCTGAGTTAAGCGGCCGTCGCCAAATTTTTCACGAATTACGAGCGGTATTGTAAGGGTGGCACGCAATCACTATCTCTTCTTCGAAAAAATTTTAGTCTTTGCAGCCTACATGCAGAGAAAGGGAGAGAGGGACACTTGAGATGCCAAATCTTCAACTTGTCATTTTTGATACTATAAAGGCTTCTCAGAACTTTTGAAATCTTTGTTACCATAAAACCTTGAAGTAGCCTAGGACACTCCGTGCCTTTGTAAATTCCCCCGCTCTTCCCACTACCACTACCCCGTTCTCAGACCGGCCTCCTCCCCCGCTCTCCTACCCCCGCCCTCCCGCGAGAATATTTCGTAAAATTTCCAAATGTTACTTGCGCGAGTTAGAAAACATGCAGTTGGCTTGTTTATACTTGCAATTAATTGAAGTAATTTTCAAAAATCTTTAAACATTTCAATCGGCTCTATCAAAAATGTTGCGGAGACGTGGTTGCTCCCTGCCCTCTTTTTCTGGAATTTCGAGGTTACGGGCCCGCAAAATCTTCATCCCAAAAAGCTTTCGGAGTGCGTGGCTGATGCCAAGCACCTCAATCTAGAATTTTTGTCGCTTCCCCCCCCCCCCCACGCTTCCCTTCCCCGAGGAAGTCCTGTTTACGCCACTGATCGGTATGCAATCCAGAGATTGTCAAAACCAACCGCCTCAAAAAGTCACGCTCAAACTCTGACATCTTCATATATGTGGAGAAGTAGTACTCCACCGCAATTAAGAATAATATGTTGATACATCAACTGAGATCGTATAAGTGAAAAACGAAGGCAAGTTTTTGAAATCCGGAAAGGAAAGAGAGCTGGCAGTGTTTGGATCAACGAAAATGAGCGTATGAAACAACAAGCAACAGCAAAAAGACTCCGATTGAAAGAACGAAGGACACATCGTCAGGTTGAAAGAAGTCAAAAACAAAGATCAACATAATTCAGCAACAATTCGAACACCGAACAAAGGACCGTAGACTTTGCATGAAGACATACTTATGAGGATATAGTATGAAAGAGCTTGTGGCGGATTGTGTAAGAGCTATTGACCAGTAGCCAACCACAGTGCTAAGAATCTACTTATATACATCACAAAAGATAAAGTAAAAAAAGCAGAGCTAGCACTCCTTTTGTGCTTCTACTGCAACAAATTTCTAGCATTGAAAACAGCGCTAGATTTTGAGGAAATGCACGCAGGCACCTCGGACTGCCCAGCAAAACTGGGGCCAGTCACTTTTTCTCCAAGTCTCCACATTCACTTCTTCATCTCCTATTTTCTGTGCAACTCGAATTTCTGTTCCAGCATCGCCAAAAACAACCATTCGTCCCTAAATGCTGTGATAAAATGAGCACGATAAGCCCAGACCTTATTGTGTTGTTTTTGAAACATCATAATAAGAACAACGAAATAAAAATAATCTTGAAAATTTGCTCCCGTCCCTCAAGTTCATCTTAAACTTTGTAGAATCAAAGCAAAAAGTTTAGGTAAAGAACGAAGAGTTCAAATAAATAATAAGTTAGCTTTTGTCAAATTTTTTCATCGTTCATCTACATGTTATTATTTCCACGCAGAATTGATTTAACTTGCATTCATTTTACTTATCAGTGCTGTACACAAAAAAATTTTTTGGCCAGAAAAATAGGCTAGGAAAGTAGAACAACTATACACAGCAGCATGATTGGACAAATTCTGTTATTATTTTGAGCATTGAAAAAAATCATGCCAGCTTGAGATAAACTTGAACTTTCACATGATTATCAGTTATAGGAACAGCTATAAAATAATAAATATGTTGAGTTATACAAATGCAATAATGCTGCTAAGCGTGGTAAAAATGGCAACTTACACTCACATTTTTTCTGTTCGACTCAAAACAATATTCACCGCAACGCCGTGAATTGAAGGTGAATGTCAGGTCAGAATCTGTGGCAATCTAAGAACATCCTTGATTTGACTAGGCTTTAACACTTGTAAGAATCTAACCTGCAAAAGTGCAGCAATGCTGGCACCATCGCTCAGTTGGAAGTCACTTCCAGTAGGACATATGAGACCACTTGTAGACGATGAAGAACCATCTTCTTCCTTCTTGAAAGGACTCATAACTCACAGTAACGAACTTCAAGGCTAGTCAAGGATGAAAACTCACGAGACCCTCATTGAGCTTTGTCAAAAATAAAGATTCCGAAAAGGAGAAACCATCGTTTTCTTGTGAGCCTATCGTCTCCTGCTAATAAAGAATCTGCTCATTTACTCGAAGTTAGGTTTCAAACGAGGAAAACCTCAGGTTGCACGCACTTCTCCTGAAGACGCTGACATGCTAGTGGCTTGTTGGATGAGTGATGTCAAGAAGTCATCTTGAGCCGATACTGCAAATGTGAAGAGCATGAGCTGTAGCCAAATTTATAGCGTAACGAGCTGAGAATTGAATTTGATAGAAATTTATTTAGGGGAAGAAGTTAAAGCTGCGAGCTTGCAAAAGTCTCATAAAAAATCTCGGGATGAACAGCTTAACTTACCTCATTTACTATAAAAAAATCTCTTTTGCCAACCCCGTCCCGGAAAAAATTTCTGGGATTCCGCAGATGTGCAGTCATACCGTTCAAGCAAAACAGACTCACGTCCGAGTTTTACATCAGCGGTGCCAAAAGGATTGAATGTTTGCATTTGATGTCGTTGGTTTGTCAGCGCTTTCAACAACGCATCTTCTGACTGAAAAATGGTATTGAAATAGGCAAAACTCATCATGAACTCCGTGAACAAACCTTTCGTGATCGAGGGGCATAATTTGCAGGTGCTTGCGAGTTGATTTTTTCCTCACAGATTGCCCATAATCCGCCAGGGCCTGAAGAAATCACCTTGTTAAAATTTCTTATATCCAAATTTTTCCTTGATCACCTGTATCATGCTTTCGCTTCAAGTGAAATTTCATCGTAGTGGGACTGCGATCGTTTGTTACCCAGTGACAGAATCGACATCGCACCCCAGCAAGGCCATGACCTCTCAAATCTGTGAAGAACTCCCATACCTGAAAAAAATCCTCGCACTTCATTGTCAGTAAATGTCATTCGACAGGGGGAGAAAGTTTTCGAATCAGGTGGTACGTGCTTCTTTGACCAACAAAACTTGCCGCCCCCTTTATTCAAAGGCAGCGTCCAGGCAGATCTGGACCTATGGGGATTTTACGTGGAAAGTACTTTTGGGGCCCTAACTAAGGCATTGTTCAAGCGGCAGCGCAGGTAGTGCTCTAACGGCTGAGATATTCCGCTCGAAACTGGACCCCGCGATCGTATTCGCATGGACTCATGGCAGTTTCGCGCCAGGATCCACGCTTTGCGCCATGAATCCATGCGAAATACGATCTTGGGGTCCAGTTTCGAGGGGAATATCTCAGCCGTTAGAGCACTACCTGAGCTGCCGGTTGGGCATTGGCTTAGTTAGGACCCCAAAATTACTATCCACGTGAGATCCCCATGTGTCCAGGCTTGCCTGAGTTTGCTATGAGTTTTTTTTTTCAATTTTTTATAACCATATCCCTTCGCGCTACGTATCCGGTCAATTCTTCGTTACTCAATAGACTAAAATTTCAGTAAAATCTCCACAAAGAATCTTTCAAAAAAAAGTGCGTGACTACAATCACGCACTCCGGAAGAGTTTTTTTTTGGGGGGGGCCGCCCATTGCTTGTGGGTGTCAATTGAAATTCGCCGTAGGGCTGCGTTACAGTGACCCGAGCGAGGGGCAGCATGGCCGCAGGAAATGCTCCATAGGAGATGTTACGAGACTACCTTATTATAATGAATAGAAAGTACACATTTCGTGGTCAGGGGACATGGTAAATTCTGTACTTCCCTTCGCTATCCTCCTTTATTCTCACAAAAACTCCCATAAAATACTAAAAATTGATATCAAAGCGTTGAAAACCTTTGCAAAAGATAGAACAGTATGCCTTGCAAGTGTGCTAATCAAGTTTTCTGCGGACCTTTTATTGCCAGCCTGTCGCGCGCTGCATCTGCATAATTGACAGTCACAAGTAATGGGATACACCCTTTTGGGGCTACTTCTGGCGGCCCCTACCCCGGAACTTTAGGAAGTTGAGGCGGCGGCAGCCACGCTCGCAAAAATTTTTTTTCAAGGCTGGTTTTTCAATAGATTAAATGTTTTAGTCATTACAGATATAAACAAATCATTTGCATATTTTCAGCTCAAGTGACTTTCAAAAATTTCGCGACCTATCCTCGGGGGGGGGGGGGAGAGAGAGAGTAGGCCTTCTCTGTGCGCTACATCGGATCTAATTTCTTATTAGTACCTTTAGCCCTTTTGCTGTATGAACATTTTTCGGTTTCCGGCTGAGGCATCGTACAGTCTTTCCTTTACCCTTTGCGGGAAAACGATTTCCAACTTGACATCTGCCACCCCAGTGCAGAGCCCCAGAGTGATCGCCTTTTGTTCAAAATTAAAACAAGAGTTGTAGTTTTCTTAACCTTTCCTAAAAACTCAATGACGGATATTGAGCAGCTTATGAAGCAAGGAGAAAAAGTGGACACTTCTACTAAAGTTTCCTGGGAACATTGCGCTGTTTACTTGGTACTGGTTTCTGTTCGAATGAACTCTATTCCACATCAAGCTTCTGCAGAATTGGTTGAACAGATATTGAATCGGATTTCAAAGAATAAATTTTGTAAAAGCTGAGCATACAAATCCACGTATTCTGCCAGAGCAAAATAATTAATCGATGATATTAGCCGTTGTATATTTCAGTGTTCGCAGACAGAATAATGAAGCCAACAACCCATAATCCGCCTCATTAATATTGAAATTTAGGATTTAGAACTGGAATTTGAATTTTGTAGGAACAATCATCTTCTACCCCAAGTCATGAAAACTTCATTATAAAATCGACAGAATATTCGGGACCGAAACTTTGTAGATCACTGGGTACCACTACTAAAACTGTCAAAAACTCAAAAAAATTGGTTCCAAGAGCATGATCGAAATGACATTCAGTCTCCCATATTTATGAGACACTGTATGGAATTTTTAAGCACAGATAAGAGGAAAGAGAAGTGCATCGAACAATTTCGCACACTTAGTTGCTGCCGTGCACTTCTGCATGTCTATTAAATTTGGATCAAAAATCGATAAATTTTTCGAAAGGATATAATATGAATATTGAGTGCAGAAAATCTGCAATACATCATCTGAAACATACTAAAACTTCAACTCACACAGGGAGAAGTACTAGAGTTTTTCTAGTAGCTGTAAACCGAATTTCGGAAAATTTTGGGCAATCGATGTCATTCAGAATTTGGTATTTATTGCAATTGTATTTGCGTCATTATTCATTGGTTGCTGAGCCATAACCTCTGATCCCAGAGGGCTATTTTTGAAAAGGGTTTTTAGTGAATTTGACAGCATACCCCTACTGAAACACTACACTACATACTATTTCATCAACTGCAAGCTTCAGCCGCTGCTACCCACCTTACAAAAATGAAGGTCGAAGTTTTCTCGTAATTCAAAATTGACTCTGCAATATTTCTCAAGCGGAGCTAATTTGCACTGATGAGCGTGTCTCTATCTGTAGGAAATCTGAGTAGTTAGGTTGAGTAGCCTTTCAAGCCTTTCAAGCTTTTTTCTAACATCATGTTTAGAAATGTCTGGGCGTTCGCTTTATGGTAGCCCTGATTTATGGCAGTAATTCCGAGATCAATTTTCCCATTATGCGCACATTACCTTTGTGATAACGCTGATTTGTTTCTGGTGTTCATGTATATGTTCTGCCGTTCATTCATTAATGGGTAAAGTGTGCTCTTTTTTAACCCACCAATAAGAACATGTACCGGTAATCAAACCCATTTTTATAAACTTCGTCTAATCGCTTTAATTGTAAAAAAGAAACATCCAGCTGCTCTTGTCCACAGATATGCACGACATCTGCATTTCCCACGAACCCTTTACTGCTGATCATTTTGGAAAAATCCATTTCAAAGCTATTAGATACCAAAGCTATGTTTTGGTCATTCACCCCAAATAGATCAAACAAATTCGGGTGAGTTGTTTAAGGAAGAAAGGAAAAGATTGACACTTTTTCAAGCTTGCTTTTTTTGAAAGACTGGAAGAAGACGTTCTGAGCTTTGAATAAGACCTTACAAGCATCTTTCTGTAATTATCCCCTCTAGATTATTACTCGATCCCTGGCTTAGATTAAAAGAGTTGGAAGAGTCTAGAGTTTCCCATTCTAGCATATAAAAAAAACTACAAGGTCAAAAGGAGCCGTGTTTTCTGCACTGGTGTTCGTTAATTCACAATCTATGCAGTTTCCGTGGTACGATGTTTTGATCTAAAATTCAGCGGGATTGGCATCATGGATACTCTTTTTACAGAGAGGTTGTGAGAGAATGCAGCGTTCCCCGAGAGTTTCTGTATCATTATTACTTCTATTGCGGCAATAAGTTGAATAAAGAAGGCATGCCTGAAAACGCATACAAATCGGCATCGGGACTAACTATTAAATGGAATTTGAACGAAAATTGGAAAAAATTGGAACTAACTATTACATGGAATTTGTTACACTTTCTTCGTCTTCTTTAAAAACTCTGAAAAGTGCAGGAAAGATTCATTTTTTGGCATAAGAAGAGATGAAAGGCCATCATGCATTGGCACTGATTTTCCCCTGGCTAACATGGGTTACAATATTTGAAGGCATTAACGCACTAACCTACATTTTTTTTCGTTGCTATTTCATCTTTTTAGGTTTTTTTAGGACCTTTAGAAGCACTAATAGTATTGCCCGTTTACTGTATTGAGATCAGTCTTAATACAGGTTGAAATTTACGAAAACTAACTCGGTAAAACTGGTAAAATTTCAAAAATCTCAAAAGTTGGGTTTTTCATACGTGACATGAATATCGAAGATCCGCCCTCCACATAATTTGAAATGAAGAGAAACCTCATGAGGAACCTATGAGAGTTTCCCCTTAAGTGAAACAAACTCATGTAACCTAATGTAACCTAACGACCTAATGTCACCGAAGCACGGAGTCGTACGAAAATCCTCAGACTAAACGAATAAATGATTGAATCAAAAGACATTTTAAGACTGCCTTCAAAATGATTTAGCTTCAATTTTACATAATTAGCAGCCCTAGCCATGCTGACGTTAACATAAAGAACATTCTTCAAAAGAATAGGGCTCGGCACGAGGTGGCATTCCGAAAATGCAAAAACAAAGTCCCCCCTGACTTTCGTAAAATTTCACGAAGTCCCCTTTGATCCTGATCCGACATATCTAAATCGATTAAAAAACAAAATGTCGATTAAAAAAACTAAATTTTGGATCCACAAAGACGATATTCCCTTTGCTTTTGGTCTCAAAAACGATATCTAGCTTGCTTATGGGCTTCTTGCCGAGCCCTGCAAAAAAAACTGCGCAAATTGCTTAGCAAACAGAATTTTGCAACTCTGATGATTTGATGGTCGCGATATGGATTCAGAGTGACTGCTGGAATGCAGCATTCCAGTTGTTCTAGATTCCTTACAGTTATTGGTTCGACGCTTTGAAAAGCTATGCACTCGCAAAACTAGCACAAATCTGCAGACCCCTTTGATAGAATCAAAACCGCATGTGTATGCAGCGTGTTCGCGTACGTTCGCTCAAAAGCCTGTTTCGTCAAAGCCATTTCGTTGTAATTTTTGGACGCAATCTCATCTCTGAAGTCAAGTTTCAGCGTCCTTGTGTGTGTGGGTGCGTATGTGTGTGAATTCAGCGCAAAGCGTTCGCAGAGAGACAGACGATTCCAATTCAATTCCAGCCTACTTAGCAGACAGAGAGCCAAGCCGAGCGAGCGATCGAGCGTGCTTTTGTGTATTTCGCATGAACAGTGCGAAAGAAGCCCAGCCTGGATTCGTGAGCGTTCATCGAATTCAGACGCATAGCGCATGCCTAAAATCCCGTTTTTGAACAGCATCTAGCAAATCTGCAAGTCCAAATTAGTAAATATGCGCTTTGCATATGAGGGGACGCATACGCGATTATCGCAGTGTAGCGATCGCGCTGCGATTGCGATTGCGCGCTGATGATGGCGCTGCGCAAAAAATTCACATCTACTGCATAGTATAGTTGTTACAGTAATGACAATGCCATTAATGTGCCCGATGAAGCAAGCTCAGTCACTTATAAAACAGAACAAAGACAGATCCGAAGTATTCATCATCCCAAAAAGCAATTTTGCCTAGCATCACACTTCTCCAAGTCATGAAAACTAGATTGAAAACCATTTGAAAACTGCAATGAAACTGACACGAATTCAAGGCAGTCAACAGTGGCGAAAAACATAGTGAGACGAGTTTTACATTGAACGAATTCTTACGCAATAGTAAACAGTACGGGCGAATTCATTGACATTTGTGTTTTTTATCGCTCGTAAATATGTCTGCACTTAGGGACGGGAGGAAGGGGGGGGGGGGTAGGAGGTTCAAAATAGATTGCCCAATCATAAGTGAACAGTTTTATAGATAAGAGATTTTGAAATTTCTTGCCATTTTGTCACGTCGGCTGGAGTTAATTATCAAATGAATTAAAATACAAAAATATGAATAATATTTTGCTATGAGTTGATGTGCTAAGTAGCTAACAAATAAGTATCAAATTAACATTAATCAAAAAAACATTTTTCAAAACGCTATCTCTCCTCATGCTTATTTGTTTGAAGAAGAAATTGACAAGTGCTCTTTTGTGACAAAGAAATTTGCAACATTGTGAACTTATAGCAGCACAAAAAAAGTTTTCGATTGCGGTCGTGCAAACTTTTTTCTCGCATGCCAAAGAACTTTTTTGTCAAATGTTACGCCTTGCAACTTTGAATCGCACAAAAACCCAATGGAAATGAGCTGAAAGTGAGAATAGACGACATACCGGGTTGCTCTTTTTTCGCCCAGCATTGCGAGGATTCGGCACATTCGGTGCAGGTGCAAGCCCCGTTCGATTAAACATCAATCTAGGTGATAAATGATCAGAGCAGAGATCCAGGAAATCGATACGAAAGGAGAAAAAGGAGAAGAAGCACATGGGACTTATGCATGGAACTATAAGAGACCGAACGTTACAGGTGTATATGTCTAGATTGATAATGCAGCAGCATTATCATGACGGCGACGATGATGGAAAAATAAATTCGCAAGCGCAAAATAGGTCATCTGAAAAGCAGGTATTCGCGATCGAAAAGAGTACGAGTACTAGATCGGGTGGTGATATTTGGAGAGGGGAGGAGAGGAGTGAGGGGGGGGGGGAGATGTGGATAAAAAAGATTTTGATTTTTGAGTCTATGTTCCTCCGGGGCACAACGTAGGCGCAACAAGCACAATAACACACAGGGGCAGACGACGCGAAATTCACGTTGGGGCTGCTGATTGTAAGAGAAACGAATTCGAAAAACCGGACACCACACGCACAAACTACTGTTCGTCTCTCTTGCCTATGCTAGGCTGGGCTGCTAAAGAACGAAGCCAAGAGCGGAATTGCCGTGTGAGTGTGTGAGTGTTGGTGTGTGTGGCAAGCATGGAATCGGGCTGAGAATGGGGGGATTGCTAATGCCTGGTAGCATACTGGAATTCCCACTTTGACGGGGTTCGCCAGTCAATCGATGCGATTCTAGGGCACACTAAAATTAGACCGGCGCGGCGCTTCCAGCGATCGCAATTCGCCCCAAGCCTGTTTTCGTGCAGCAGAGCGGCGGCGGACCGCGCCGTTTCATGGACGACGGCGCTGTCGCTGTGCTGGCTGCTGGACCTCGAAGCGCTACAAAAAATTCAGATCTGGTGAATTGCGCTCGCAGGCCGAACTTGGAAGGTCCCCAGCAATCCTACTCCTATCTGATCCATCTCCCCCTCCCCCCCTCCGCCTCTCCCATTCTCCCGAATGCACCTCGTCGCGACCTCGTTGAATTCCAAAACTCCATAAACACGCGTCACACTCACTCTGCTAATACACAATGTGCTGAAACCCCGTCAAGACTACTATTGCCCCCGCGCTCGCTCGCTCGTCGTGCAAAAGCAAGAGGAGAAGTCGTAAATTTATTAACTGGTTCATAGAGGCGAATATTCTCTCCCCGCTCTCTCTCTTACTGAAAGTGCAGCTGTACAGGTGCAAAAACTCTCTTTCCACCCCGCCGTTCAATGCAGCTATTCACTCACAAACAGAAACAGGAAGCCAATCATCCACCCCCTCCGACCCCGGGACAAGCGTACAGCTACCTACCTCTGTAACCTTCACATTTTTGAGATTGGTGAATGCCTTGGTGCTAAGTTTCTTAAACTGAACGAATTTTGCATGGGTAAAGGTGTTCCTTCGACGGACTCAGCTTCATTTCGGGTAAAGGTAAAGAGCAACTAACTTACATTAATGGAGACTTTGTCTTGTATCTTTTCGAAAAACTTAAAAATTCACTGAAATCCGAAGTTGAAGGTATTTATTTTCAAGTGGAAAAAACTCTTAATTTTGTTTTGCGAGCATTCCTCTACCATAAACTGCTAGAAGCGGTAACTACTCCATCAAATTTTTACATTTGTAGAAGAAGATTTCGCGAAGGTCTTTCTTTTGATGCTGCACTTGCAGAGATGTCTGGCTCCATTCACGGGAACTTTGCTTTCTCGAAACCTTACATTTTCTATAGAAAAAAATCTATGTGCGTGATTTGAGCGTACAAAGCAAGATGCTTATGATCCACACTGATAAAGAACTCTAGGAGATATAACATGCAAATTAGCGTTGACAAAAAGCTGTTTGAAAAAGTGTACAGCTTTATGTACTGACGGGCTTCCATGAGTTAACACATAAGTATTGTACCAAATATCATGGAAAATTCATTCAAAAATGCTTGGGTAACGTTCCAACGTTCTTTTGTAAAAATTTTCCTTACATATAATACACGCAAAATTCAAAAAAGCTTTGAAGTCGAAAATATTCAAAGAATAACTTTTGTTGACCGTAGAAATCGTAGAAGCAAATACCAAAAGCCAAAAATATCTAAAAAATTATAAATTTCTGTGGAAACCGATGTGCACGAGTGACCAGAAAAAGTAGATTATAATAGATTATAAAATTCGAAGTTGTTGGATCTTTCAGCATTCTCAGCCACCGAAACTCAAAATTACATTTTGAATGTTTGTATTTACCAGCTTTTGAATGGCAATGCAAAATTTTCGATTGAGTGCTGCCAAAACACGCACGATCCCCTCTCTCTGTCTTAGATTACACCAAAAAGGTTCATTGAATTTGGAGAAAATTACGATTCTCCGAAATTTTAGTGCGAGACTTATAGATACCTTAATATATTATAGAAGGATCAGGGGACTCAGAGGTTCATTTTCATCATTTTCCACAGTGGTAGATTTCAGCGAATAGGCGACTGAAAGACGTGGGATATCTTTCCCTTCCAAGGGCCGTGCAAAGCTACCACCTTTAAAAGTCAGAGACATAATAAATTGTTGGTATTTGCATCCATTTGACTGCCTCTGTCTGGCAAAGGAACGTCAGCCACAAGATCGTCCGCGCGTGCACTGTAACGAAATGAACTCAACATTATATCAGGCATTCCCAAACGACATTGCTTCCTGTTTCTAATCGATTACTATAGAGCTCGATAGTATTCCACGAAACCAGTTTAGCTTTCATCAAAAGACGTCAAGCGAAAAACGCGCGTGGAACTCAATGTGACAGATTTCTCTCGAAAATTCGTGTCAGCCGTATACAACAGGCTAAAGTGCGAAGTGTTCGAGTAAAAACAGTGTAATGTGATGTAGAAATTCTTTTGTTAGACAAAAGTTTCGATTTTCTCTCCTTGCATCAGGTGATTTACGACAATGTAGCCCTTCAAATTCTCTACAAACATCTTAACGACACGCGAGAGAACACATCTTTGTCAGTCACCAATTCTAGGACGACTTTCTGGGTCGTACAACTGACGAAGCGATTTCTTAAAACTCAGTCATTTCTAAATGGGAAGGGATGGTCTATTGCATTCACACATCTAGGTTTATTTGTGACGGGAGCACATCATGTGAAAAAACCTCCTAGAATAAATTGGGTTTTTCTTCTCGGCTGAATGGTACCAGCTCGCTAAAAACCAAAAAAAACTTTGTTTCATGATTCGCAACATAATCAAAACACAGTGCGGACTGAGGATGTGATGACCAGCCAAAGCAGTAGTGCAAGTTTATTTATTTATGCATATGTACATTTTTTAATTACGCATGAAGGTGCGCAACATGCAGGTTGATAAACGTAACAAGCATTGCAAACGGGTGACCAACATCGAGAAATGAGAGCATAAAGTTTGAAAAATACCCTATTTTCAGATGTATAAGACGGTTCAGCGAGGGGGGGGGACAAAAAAATTTTCCGATGAAGGTGTGTGGCGTCACCACGCACTTCGAAATTTTTTGGTATGCTCCCTAAAATTTTGCCGGCTCAGAATCCCGAAATTTCTCGCTTCTCGTAACACACTAAAGGCTGAGCAGCTCGTTTGAAAATTTGGAAAAGTGCGGCTTATATTAAAAACTAGTGAACCAGCAATTAAAGGTGCTAGATTGCATCCGCGCGCTCCGGACCGCCACGCGGTTTCCCGCTATTTGCACATTTTTAAATTGTGCATACGATTCTTTATATATTAGATAGGGTAACAACCATCCAAAACCAGGCTTTACCTCCGAAGAAACCTACCAATAAATTTAGCGCTTCGTTCAAGGAACACGCCAAGACAAGAAATTTAAGAGTCATGAACGTGAGTGTTGTTGTTGTTGTTGTTGTTGTTGTTGTTGTTGTTGTTGTTGTTGTTGTTGTTGTTGTTGTTGTTGTTGTTGTTGTTGTTGTTGTCAGCATGTTTGTCATGTTTGTCAGCAAAAATGACTCAAGCTCAAGGATCCTGCATTGAGCTTTTTTCATAATTTTAGGTTTTGGCCTTCCTTCCAATCGCTTCCATTCATAATTGATGTTCTATCACTCCTGCTGTTCTATACGTTTTGGAATGCTAAGTGATATGGCCGTTTCCTCCAGATATGATAGCAGGTTGAACAGCCAGAAGACCGTCCGGTCAAGTGTCACGGTCAGTTCTCCGTACTGCCACCAAACTGAAGGTGGGCCTTGAATTAAACTGACAAAAATATGTGTAGAAGCGGAGAATTAGAAAAAATCCCTGCGGGATAGGCTCACGTTCTTTCACGGTGCGAAAGATCCAAAACTGCAGAGTATCTTGGGCCTGCGGAGAGAGTTTATAAACAGCTGGTTGCAGCCAAACTTTATAAATAGAGCTGAAAATTTGTAAATATGTATGTGTCCATTATGTAACCTATAGACGACATTGCTCGTTCACCAATTGAGCTGTAACTTTGCTTACGTATACTCTCACCGTGGGCATTATAGAATACTTTTTGCTGCGATTCGCTCGGATCCTCAAATGGATTTATCGATTTGCTTAATTATATCGAAATAAATAATGACTTATCGTGTTTTGCCCTACCATTTACCCATGTCATTGTTGTTTTATCATGTTATGCTGACAAAGACGAGCAGAGGTGGACATCCCAGGTAGTGAGAAGATAGGTTTTCCCCTATTGGAGCAATTCTTTTAGGAAGCTATTAAAAATTTAGTATTTCAATTATTCTTCCGATTTTGTGATTTTGTGGAAATATTTGCTGGTATACAGCTAATTTCTCGATTTCTCCATCTCCGAAGCAAGATATTTAATAACGGGTATCACTGGTTGGATGCCGAAGGCTACCGCTTTGACCAAACACGCACAAACGACAGAGCCGTGTCTTTCTTGAGAAGGTATAGGTTCATGTCCATAGAGCAATCCGCATTGAAATCGATGGCACAATGATACTTTGCGAATCGTACTTTTAACTTAGGCCCGTCCCAGCCGAGTTGCGGTGAAGGAGGGTTTACTGCGGGTCATAGCTTGTTTAAGATTACGCAACTAAATTGCGGTAATTGTTGAGTG